GTTCTTTACAGGTCGTACTTTGGTTACTCTGCAGGTAATTAAGATGCTTTCTTCTTCACAAGACTGCCTTTACTGCCGGATCCTGTGTCTTGGTGAGCACCAGGAGGCCAGGGCAGTCATGAGAGTAACGGGCAGGTGCAGGGAGGTGCGTGCCTCTCCGGCTGGCTTGTCTGGCTTCTTATCTTTAGGTAAATCCAATTAGCTTCTTCCTTGAGCCGTCTCCTTCCAATGGAACTGAGCAAGTGAAGTTGGGAGCTGGCGTCCAGCTGGTCTAGTCTTGTATTCTTCCAGTATTTGCCCAGCACTTCTTTAGAAAACATCCTGGAAGAGCAGAGATGAAGAAGAGCCATGCTTGCCCCCAACTTGCCTGCGCCCCTCAGCCAAGCGGGTGCCGGGGCTGAACTGGGCACTGCCCTCCCCGGAAAGCCTGTCCCAGGCCTCCTGGGCCCAAGCAAACAGTAGTCGCCTTCCTGAAATGAGTTCCGGTTAGTACAGCATTCCCCCTCACCCCTTTAAAATGGTGGTAAAACATACATAACAGAAATGGTTACTGTCCTAATCATTTTAATGTTTTTTAAAGTTCAGTACACGTCGTGTAAGCAGATTCACACTCTCGTGTCACCGTCATCACCATCCGGCTCCAGCTTTGGTTTCTTCTCCTGAATGAAGCTCTAACCCATTAAACACTAACTGTGCTTCCTTCCTCCCCGCAGCCCCTGGTAATCTTGGTTCTGCTTCCGGTTTCTGGGGGTTTACGTAGAAGGAGAAGCCTATGTATGGTATTTGTCCTTTTGTGACTGGCTTATTTTACTTAGCGTGATGTCCTCTGGGTTTATCCATGTTGTATATATAACGTATATCTGAATTTTCTTCTTTTTTAAGGCTGACTCATAGCCCATTGTGTGTATGTACCACAGTTTATTTATCTACTCATCCATCGATAGACACTTGGGTGGTTTCCACCTTTTGGCCATTGTGAGAACGCTTCTGTGAGTATGGGTGTGCAAATGTCTCTTTGACCCTGCTTTTGGTTTTCTTGGGTATATATTTTGAAGTGGAATGGCTGGGTCATATGGTAATTCTATTTTTAATTTTCCGAGGAACTGTGTTCTGTACTGTTCCATTCATAGTGTGGCACCATTTTGCATTCCTACCAACAGTGCACATGGGTTCCAATTTCTTCCCAGCCTTGCCAACCCTTGCTTCTTCCTGTGCTTGAGAGAGTAGCCATCCAGGTGGTCTTCTTTGTAAAAAACATTCAGCGGTCAGTTAAAGCAGCCCCTTTCGGTGTTGAGGAGAGTTCCCGGGAGCGTATTGCCAGGTGGGGCCATGACCTTGTCATCATTTATTAAGAATTATGGAACAGATGCCCTGCTTCCAAGAGGAGGCATTTTCAGATTTGCAGATAAGTTGTTCAATAGAGCGGGTAGCTAAAGATAATCAAAGCAATTTCCGATTATTTGTGGTGGGAAAACTACACCAGGCCAATCCCGTGGCATGCACGGAGGGACGATCCCAGGACCGGGAATTGGGAAGTCAGAGTCCAGCTCCATCTCTGTGAGGTGGGGAGCGCTGCCCATCACTTCCCATTTCTGGCCTTATTTCTTTCAAACAACGCTGTCGGAATAACAGCCCAGGGTCCTGCCACCTTCGAAATCTTCAGATTCTGCACAATAACCTTGAGTTTGTTCACTGCCGGGGGGGAAGGATGCTTTATTGTGAGAACAAGAGAGCAGAGTGCCATTTCGCTTAATTATTAAAGATGCCCTTTCAGGCTTCATCTTGGGGCAGTCGGAGCTGGAATTGGATCTTGCGGGTCATCCAGGCCGATGTCCTCGTCTTACAGATGAGGGGCCGGGATGCAGACATGTGGTCACACCATCCAGTTACCAGCTTTCTCTTGGTTGTGACTACAATAGGTTGGCCGGCGGGTCCTCCAGGGCCGTGTGAGCAGCCGCAGAGGCGAGGGCATGGGTTCAGCCTCGCTGCAGGAGATGGTCACCCGTCAGGGACCGGTGTGGCCCACAGCTGAGGGCCATGAAGTCGGGAAGGGGGCTCTGGAACCAAAACAGAGGTGGTTTCAGGCCCAGGCCTGTGCCCTTGGGCATTTGCTTCATTGCACTTTTGCTTGTCCTTAGTTCGTTGGTCTGAAAGGCCTCGTACCCACAGCGTTGTTGTGAATACCACTGGGGCACGAGGTCATGCGGAAGCAGTCGTACAGAAATGTTGTTCATACTGCTTGTGCTTAGCTGCAGGGTTAGCTGCTTACTTCTCGGTAAGCACCATATGTTAAAATCTACATCGAACATTGATGTGATGGTTTATTTGTATTTTTTGCAAAATGATTCCCTGTAAGAAGTATCAGGGTTCCTGGCGCCTGGCTGGCTCAGACAGTAGAGCCTGCCAAGCTCGGTCTTGGGGTCATGAGTTCAAGCCCCACATTGGGCATAAAGCTCACTAAAAAAACCCCTAAAAACAAAAAAAGAGGTATCAGGGTTCCAAAGAATCTTTTTTTGCATTTTTCATCTCTTCAGGAACTGTCTCTTCTCCCGTTTTGCATGAAGTTAGTTAGCTTGCACAGCCACACAGACTTAGAAGTTGCACGATTTTCTGTTCTTGCGTCCATGTGACTTGCGTCAGCGGTAGGAGCTCGACCACCCGTCGCCCGACTCCATCTAAGGGTGGCTGGCCTGTGTGCATCTCTGCTCGTGTTCACGGAGGGTCTGCTCGTCGCTTGTCTGAGGGAGGCGGGCACATCAATCCACAGGGTGTCATTTACAATTGTAAAATGAGCCACTGAGGGCTTTCTTGTGTTCTTTGTAGGTTTTGTCACTGCTTTTAGGGCTCTCGCCTCTTCTAACTTAGCCTCGAGTCAGCGGTTCGTGTTTGCTTATGGCGTGCAGGGCTTTTAACCAACCACCTGTAAGCCTCAGTTTCCTTATTTCTAAAGCGGGAGTGCTAATATCATTTCCTGCCTATGTCACAGGGGTTGAGCTGAGGCTTATGAAAGGTAGTTTTTGGGGTGCCTGGGTGGCTCAGTCGTTAAGCGTCTGCCTTCAGCTCAGGGCATGATCCCAGGGTCCTGGGACCAAGCCCCGCATCGAGCTCCCTGCTCAGCAGGAAGCCCGCTTCTCCCTCCCCCACTCCCCCTGCTTGTGTTCCCTCTCTCGCTGTGTGTCTCTCTGTCAAATAAATAAATAAAATCTTAAAAAAAAAAAAGACAGGTAGTTTTTGGTTTTTTCAACTTGCAAAGACAAGGCTTGATCCTCGGCCTCAAGGACTAATCTGGCTTTGCCAAGTGACAGGAAAACCACACGAAAAAATAGAGACACATCTGAGCGAGAAAGTTCACAGAACCAAACTGTGCAGACAGGTCAGGGACAGGTGTATATATATGTAAGCTGGTGGTTGCTGGGATCATTGTAAGGGACCTGAAGTGGGTGGGGTCAGCATGGTCCCTTGCGCCCCCATGTAGGGTAGGTAGTCTCCTTGAAGAATTGGGGCATGAGGGTTGGGAGAGAGGTCTTGGGATCCAGCGATTGGAAGTCACAATGTGTGGACCTTTCGTGCTCAGGTGGTGGAACCTGAGGAGGCCCCCAAAGTGTTAAGTGCACAGAGAGGAGAGGGGAGCAGCTGTGACTGGGCCAACGTGTGAGTGCAGCTAAGCTGGGGGCAGAAGGGACCTGCGGGCTGGCAAGAAGGGAGCCCCAAGCGAGCTGCACCCTGAGGCAGGTACCCCGAGTGAGGGCAGACACCTCTGAGGACAGGCACGTCCCAGGGCAGGGGGTGCCAAGGAGGAAGGCTGCAGGGTTGGCCCTTGTGGGCTGTGGGCCAGTCTGAGGAGTCCGAGTCCCATCGGGGCATGTGGCAGGGCCAGACCATGGAACCGGAGGGTGGGCTCTGCCAAGGTGGGCAGTCAGGCAGGTAAGGATGGGCACCAAGGCGGTTGTGGCAGCCAGAGCTGTGGGAAGAGGCCCAGAGCATGGTGCCAGCTCACTGTGGGTCTCCGGCCCTGAGCCTCTCTCCAACTGTCCCTCCACCTCCATTTCTTCTTTACTGCCTCCTTTCAGGCTGGCGTCTTAGAAACGTCCGGACCTCCCAGCGGGTCTCCAAGTCTCCATCCTTCCCTGCATCTTTTCTGTGGCAGGCACAGCCCCTCCGGCCGGCTCCTGAGCACCTACCTGTCCCTGCTGGTGTCTGCCCTCCTTCCCGGCCTTCTCCACCTCCCTCGGCTCTGGCCCCTCCTGTCGACTTAAAACAGAACAACACTGACATATATTTTAGCTCCCTGTGTTTCCTTCTGTCTCCTTCATGAGCCTGGGAGTCCCTTCAGGGGATAGGGACTTTGTCTTTTTTATCTCCGTGTCGCCAGCACCAGGCCGGGTGTAGAGTAGACGCTGGATGTTTGCTGACCGGCCTTCAGTTGATTAGCCGGGCAGACCCACCGAAGCAGAGCCTGCGCTTACCCTGCAGCCGCCGTGGGGCAGAATCCGATTAGGCAGACCGACACCAGGATGGAAGTTATTCCAAATAAAAAGTCAGCTTTTTTCCTTCTCAAGTAGAAAGAGTCATTTTTTTCCCCAACTAATATTGTTGAATACCTACTGGATTTGGCGCGGTGGGGGCTAGATCCTAAGAGGTATAAAGTACAGTCTCTTTTCTCAAGAGTCTTAAGAGGTAGCCGTAGAACCTGCAGGTAACGACAGAGCCGGGCACGGCTGTCAAGGGCCATCAGGGTGCTGTGAGCAGGTGCTGGCGCCCCAGCAGGGAGGAGCCCCGCGCTCTCTGGGATGAGGCTTCCCGGGGTCGGCAGGGTGGAGGTTGGTAGGCTTGCGGACTGGGGTGGGGGTAGATGGGCAGTGGGGGTGGGTGTCATGGAGCCCATTGCAGTGGAGCAGAATGCAGTCGAGCCAGGGTTATGATGACGAGCTCATCTGGACCGGCTCCAGATAGATGCCGTCTCTGAATTAACTGATCGTGGGTCTGTCTCTGTTTTCTAGACTCAAACCATGAATTACGTGGGGCAGTTGGCAGGCCAGGTGTTTGTCACCGTGAAGGAACTCTACAAGGGGCTGAACCCGGCCACCCTGTCTGGATGTATCGACATCATCGTTGTCCGCCAGCCCAACGGGAGCCTGCAGTGCTCCCCTTTCCACGTGCGCTTTGGGAAGATGGGGGTCCTGCGTTCCCGAGAGAAAGTGGTAAGAGCATAGGACCTGGTGACCTGGGGCAGGGGGCAGGTTCTGTCTTTAGAGCAAATCATCATGTTTGTGTCTTTGAAGATTTTATTTATTTATTTGACAGAGAGACACAGTGAGAGAGGGAACACAAGCAGGGAGAGTGGGAGAGGGAGAAGCAGGCTTCCAGCGGAGCAGGGAGCCAGATGCGGGGCTCGATCCCAGGACCCTGGGATCATGACCTGAGTGGAAGGCAGACGCTTAACCGACTGAGCCACCCAGGTGCCCCAAGAGAGGGAAAACAAGCAGGGGCAGTGGGAGAGGGAGAAGCAGGCTTCCTGCTGAGCAGGGAGCCCGATGTGGGGCTCGATCCCAGGATCCTGGGATCATGACCTGAGCCGAAGGCAGGCGCTTAACTGACTGAGCCACACAGGTACCCCTCGTGTTTCTGTCTTTAGACAGAGCTTTCGGCCTCTGGAGCTGAGGCTTCATGCTGGAAGGGTCTGGTCACTGAATTGACAAGTACTAACTCGGATTGAGTTAAATTATTCCAAAACATAGGGGCAAAACTCAACTAGTTATTAAGCTCACGGGTTGTGTGAGTCAGAAATTCAGACCAAGTGCAGCAGGGCTAGTTTTTCTCTGCCCTCTGCCATCTGGAGCCTCGGCTGGAAGACCGGCTCTAAAGAGGCGCTCACTCATGCGGCCGGGGGCTGCTGGCTGGGCTCTCAGCTGAGGCTGTTGGCCAGGATGCTTACACGTGGCCTCAGCATGTGGCCTGGGTGGCTGCACAACATGGCAGCCGGATACAGGGTGAGCCTCTCCAGAGGAAAGGAGCCGCGGAAATTCATAGAGCCTCTCCTGCAGCGCTCTGCTGGCTGGGGCCATCACCAGCCTCCCCGGGCGCGGGGTCGGGGGTGGGGGCAAGGAGACTCCATTTCTAATGGGTTGATTGATTGGGATGTGGAATTGTGAGGTCATTTTGGGATATATGTGTTTAAAGGATGCCTATGTAAAGACATGGCATCCCCTGTGAGGTTTCCTGTTTTAGTGAAGTGTCTTTTTCCTTCAGGTTGACATAGAAATCAACGGGGAATCCGTGGATTTGCACATGAAATTGGGAGATAATGGAGAAGCATTTTTTGTTCAAGAGACTGATAATGATCAGGTAAGGAAGGCTGTGGGCGGTCACTGTGACTTCCTAGTTTTGAATTTTGAGCAATGCTTGTCTAGAGGGCCCAGCGGAAATGTGTATAGAGAAGTAACACTGGTGCTGGGTGGTGGAGACCATCGCAGCAGAGAAGCGTGGCTGCTGATCTGGACCGGGGATCTGTGAGCCTGACAGGGTGGGTGCGAGCCGTGTCCACACAAGCAAGACTCCGCAGTCCTGGCCTGCTTCCGCGTGCTCACTGTTTCCGAGGAGACAGGAACCGAATCACATCCGAGCTGTTGTCCAAAGCATACGGGTTACACTGGTGTGTCGAATCTCAGAGGGCTGAGTGTTCTGGTTTTTGTGCAGTGAGTGACCAAGTCACTGTCATTTTTTTTTACTTAAAAATTTTTAACAGCTCTCTAAAGATAGAGCTTGTGTACCGTAGAGTCTCTGTTTCAAGTATACAGTTCGGTGGTTTTCAGTCTTCGAAGGTATGTCGCCACAGTCAATTTTAGGACATTTTCATCCCCCCGGGAAGAAACCCGGTGCCCTGTATGTAGCTTATCACTTACCTCTCCCCAAGCCCCCACCCCGTCACCTTCCTGCGCCCTCAGCAGCTACTCTTTTACTTTCTGTTTCTCTAGATTTCCCTGTTCTGAACCTTCACACGAATGCAGTCCTGAGTATGTTGTCATTTACGCCTGGCTTCCTCCACTTCTCACAAAGTCATCAGGGCTCACCCATACCGTAGCCGGGCTCAGGATTTCATCCCTTTGTAGGGCTGAATCATTGCCCGTGGTATCCACACACCACATTTTTTACCCTTTTGTGGGTTCGTGGACATTTGGGTTGTGTCTGCCTTTTGGCTGTTAGGAATAATGCCGCTGTGAGCATTCACTCTTTCCTTCTTTGAGAAAGCCACGTGGAAGGGATCCTGTGTTGTATTCCTCATGAGAATCCACTTAGACTAGCTGCTGTGTGGGAAGAGAGCGTGATTCAAAAGGAACAGCTCTAAATAGCTCCAGGCTCGAAAACGGACCCCATAGTTTCAGTTTCAGAATAAAACCGTCCCAGGTTGTTCTTTTTGGTGTCCCCAAAGGTGTGACATAACAGGAGGACCAGCATCCTCATCCTGTGCCCCCATCTTCTGTAATTACCCCTTCTGTAATTACTTCCCTATTTAAAGGGAAGGTTCTGAGAATCGTTCATTTGCGATTATTAATTCTTTCCATCTCAAATGGATACTTGCCTTTTAAATTTCTGCTGTCCCTTAGTTGTGGACAGATTGTACGCTGTGGGAGTTGAAGAAGTGTTTTGGGCGAGGCCTCCATGGAAGCTTTAGGGTCTTGGGCCTGCTCCGCTCGCTTTCAGGGTGTCTGTGGGTGGGACGGGGCTTCGGAGTCCAGAGTATGTTCTGCCCCTTACAGATGCCCCTGGCTGCCCCTGGAAGGCTGCTGGAAGTTGGGGAAGCCTGTGTCCCTCATCACCAGATTGCCCCAGGATGGAGTCCCCCTCCGTTTGTGGAGGTCTGTCCCCTCCCTATCCAGTCTGGACTCTCCTCTGCTCTTAACCCCCTGTCAGCACTGGCGGCATTTCTTCTTCGTTTGGCCCGTTGAGCAGCTGGGCAAGATGACCTCTCACCTCTCAGCCTAAGGCTTGGTCTTTCAGATGTTCATTGTATACCTGCAGCACTTTGGGTGTTCTCGAAACCACTGTAAAGGGTCAGGAGCCGGTTTCTGTTTCTCTCTTCTCCTTTGTATATATTCTTTACTTCTTGTTACCAAGTGGCTCATAATAAATAAGTCATTAATAAAATGATTGTTATAGTTTTTAAAAAACTGGTAAATCATTATTAAATAACTTAAATGGACAGGCCATATATTTTTTCCTTTTTAAGAAGAGAGTCAGGATCTAATTATTCAATGGCCGTATACCTGGATGCCCTCTGGTGTAGGCAGGCATTTGGGATGGAGAGCTGTCAGCTGTATTTTTGTTTTTAATTACTGTCATCTTAATTCAGTGCATATTAAAAAACGCATACACATTCTCTCTTTTACATGCAGTCACGTGCATGCACCCACACACCCCACCACACACACTCACCCTCCTCGCACCTACCCACCCTCACACACTGAAATGCAAATTGAGTCCAGTTCCCAGGTAATGTGATGACTCAAAGCTCATTTCCCTCTTTACTTTGGATAGTTCAAACAAAGTTGACTCTGGGTGGCCTAAAATCACGCATTACCTCGCTTTGTTACAATTATGAAAATGCAGGATTCAGTACAAAATGGCATTGAATGCGTTGTTGACTTCGTGGTCGGCTGTCCGATCTGGCCCTGTGCCTCCAGCCGTGGTGGCTGTGACCGTTAGTCCCCCCGCCCCACGTGGCCCTCCCCAAGGGCGCTCGCGCTCCTAAAGGACCACCGGCCGGCCTTTGGCATCCCCCTGCTCCTTAAACCCAAACTAGCGAGACTCTTCGAGAACTATTTTCTGTCCTTTAGGAAGTGATCCCCATGTACCTGGCCACCTCCCCTATCCTGTCAGAGGGAGGGTCGCGCATGGAGTGTCAGCTGAAAAGGAGCTCTGTAGACAGGATCAGAAACCTGGACCCCAGCGCATCAGCCCAGGCCTTACCTCCCAGTGAGGCCCCTTTGAGCGGCTCTTTAGTGAAGAAGAGAAGGAAAAGGAGGAGAAAGTCCCAGCTTGACACCCTGAAAAGAGACGACAACATGAACACCTCTGAGGATGAGGACATGTTTCCCATAGAGATGAGCTCGGACGACCAGGCCGACCCGCTGGACGGCAGTAGGTAAATGTGCATGAAAGGCGGGATCTGTGTCGGGGTGCATTCATTCTTTGAGATGATTCTTACAAACTCTTTCCTACTGCCCTCCCCCCACCCCCAGTATTCCTTCTTCTTTTTTTTTTTAAATCTTATTTATTAGAGCGAGCATGAGCAGGAGCAGGTGGGAGGGGCAGAGGGAGAGGGAGAGGGAGAAGCAGATTCCCTGCTGAGCAGGGAGCCCGACGTGGGACTTGATCCCAGGACCCTGGGATCACGACCTGAGCTGAAGGCAGACGCTTAACCGACTGAGCCCCCCAGGTGCCCCACTATTCCTTATTCTTATGTGAATGCATTTTAGACTGAGTTTTAGAACTCTGTGGACCCAACCTCAAGGAGCATAAAGATCTGAGGTAGCTTACAACTACAAGGCAGTTGGTAGTACCCGACCTCCTCGTCTGGTCGCTTCAGCATCCAGGACAGAGCCAAGGGACAGAGAAGTGAGCAAACTAATATTTCATGCACTAAACTGTTGTTTCAGAGCCTGCTTGCTCTTATTTGGGCCCCGACTGTGGACCCGGCCGTTGGGCTGATGTGTGGCTGGGGACTGATCTGTGACAGCCTTCAGGTTACAAGTACATGTGGAATGTGACCAGTTTTGTCTCCAAGCAGACTTTTCCTTTTCAGTGTTGACTAGGCCTGAGGTTTCATGGTCATCTTGCTCAACTTTTCTTTGCTTTTAATAGGGTGCTGAAATTTGGTTTCTGTGTATTACTATTTTAGTGAAAATGGCCGGTTTTAAAAGTCAAAACTCATTTGTAAAGTATACTTGATATTTCAGATCTTTATGTAATTCAGTATAATTTTTCTTTTTTTTTTTTAGAGGGGGGGTGGAGGGGCAGAGGGAGAGAGAATCTCAAGCAGACGTCCTGCTGAGCACAGCGCCCGATGCAGGACTCAGTCTCACGACCCTGAGAACAGGACCTGAGCCGAAGTCAAGAGTTGGGCGCTTAACCACACGAGCCACCCAGGCACCCCTAAAATTCAGTATAATTTTTGATAATTATTTTTGTATCTTGTTAACATAAAGAAGGGATAACGAACATCAGGAGTATCCCTCTGCTTCATTATCCAAAATAGGATTTTTCCCCCACTTGGCTAAAAATACAGGCAAATTGGCAATGTCACTTTTTCTAACTATAGCCTCTAATCAGCTATAGGCTCAGAAACTGGTGGTTGGGCTTGTTATAGTTGCCATCCCTTCATGGCTTTTAATTCCAGAACTTAGTGACGGATATTTCAGGGAACATCAAAAGTATGGATAGATGGCCTCTGTGTGACTGAAAGAGCGAATCGTATTTTTTTTAATGGATGCTTTCTACCTGAAATGAGGTAGCTTTGCAGTCATTTTGTAATTATAAGATTCATTTGGTTTATATCATTTATTTATTCTGCCAGATGAAGCATGGTCTGTGTGTGGTCATTCAGTTACTCGGCAGCCCTACCCATGCACAGTAAGACTTTCCAGCCTCCTGGGCCCAGTTTCGGGGCCGCAGGATCACCGCTGTGCACTTCTATCAGCCCAGAGGCTTGAATACAGTCATTTTACGTTTATAATCCAGCCAAAGCACGAACACATTTTTGTGTATCTGTGTCTCATGTTTTTCCTCTGCCTGCAATGTGTGTGGGTGGGTCAGAAAGAGATCATGTTTATCTACAATGAACTTAGAGAGATAATCAAGGTAAAAGGGAAACTTGCCTTTACTGTGAATCTATCACTAATAGTTCTTTGATGTTAGTCTTTTTGTTTTGTTTTGTTTTCCCTCCAGAACTCTTCCTAACGATATACCTGCATTCCAAGATGTTTCTAAAGAAAGCCCTTCCCCCATCATGACTTACCCTCAGTCAGCATCGTACCCTAATTCTGATAGAGAGTGGTCACCCAGCGCCAGGTAAGTTGCTGCGGGAAGTGTGTGCATTCACTCACCCCGGTCCAGAGGATTTAAAGTCAGTGACAAGAAACGTGTCTAATAAAATAGTGAAATATAAGTAAAAAGCGAAAAAATGCAGTTTCTAGTAGGAGGTACAGATCAGGATTGAAAAAGGACATGTGCAGACCATAAACTTCTGATATCATAATCAAGCTGCATATCTGGCTCTTCACTCCCCACAGGTGACCTTGAAAGCAAAACCACTGTGGTTCCTCAGGGCTAATTGTCAGCAGGAGAAAACAGGTGGCCGAGCCTTTCTTGACACTTAGCCCTCAAGTATGATTCAGGAGCCACCAAGGTGGTTCTGGGCTGTTAGAATGATGCCTTCGCCCCATGCTTAACCCCTTCTACTGAAATCAGGAATATTTAGTATAACTCTGATGTTGCCCTAGAATCGGGTATAAACTTGGAGAGCCAGACCTGCTCAGGCTGCGGATTGCCATCCTGAAGATCCCAGAGACTTGTAGTCAGTGAGACCTCTGAGAATATGTGACCCCTTCGGAGCCCTTCTCAGAAGGACTGGGGCGGGGACAGATTGAAACCGAGTGTTCTCAGCAGGGACCGTATCACCCCCATTGGGACAAAAATTGGTTCTTAGGCAACAAAGAATTCTTAGATATTATAATGGCTTGTGGCCTCCACGGGGCCTCACACATAAGCAGATTCAGAGTCCATCTGTGGTGTTCAAGTTTCACGGTGGAGGGAGGACCACAGCAGGGTGGGGTGGGGGGATGCCTCAGCTGTCCGGAGGTGCGCTAAAAAGGAAAGAGGTTGAGAAACACCGATCTTAGTGACAGGGACATCCTTGGATTCTTCTTTTTTTTTTGTTTAAGATTTTATTTTATTTATTTGAGAGAGAGAACAATGAATGAGCAGTGGGTGGGGGGCAGAGGGAGAGGGAGAAGCAGGCTCCCAGCGGAGCATGGAGCCCAATGCAAGGCTCGATCCCAGGACCCCCAGATCATGACCTGAGCTGAAGGCAGACGCTTGACCGACTGAGCCCCCCAGGCGCCCCAACCTTGGATCATTCTTGTTCCTCATGTTTTAGATGTACTTGTGGTTTGCAGTGGAAGTGTAGGAACCCTGTTGCAAAGGCTCCCCGCCTAAAGCCAGAGTCCTCCCAACACTACTCCTTGTTCCAGTTTCACCAGAGTGATCTTGCCAGTGGGACAGCACAGTGAGCAGCGTGCGCTGGAGCCCGAGTCCGAGAGAACTAGATAGGTCCCATGCCTGGTTCCAGCCAGGACCAGGACAGCGAGTGTTAGTCCGCCAGGGTGGGGCTGGGGGCCTGGGAGGTGTCCCCGTGGAGGTCTGTCTGCAGACCCGCCCCATGCAACAGAAACAGAGTGCTGGTTACCTAGGACATTTACAGTCTTGTAGCAGCCAGCCTTAGAGGGTAAAAAGAAACTGAAAAAGTTCACTTTGATGATGGAGTTCCTTTGACCCAGCATATCCAAAATATCATCAAGTCGTTATCACGAAGTTCTTAATGCGACATTTCACGTTCTTGTTTTCATACTAAGTCTTTGAGATCATTGTGTATGTCACGTGTAAGGACCACCTCGGTTTGGACGTGTCACACTTCATGTGCTCGATAGCCATGGGCCGCTGGTGGCTGTCATAATGGACAGTGCAGCTACTAGGCCTTTCTGGAACCTCCCACATCGTCTCCCTAGGTCTGTGGAACTGCACCCTAAGGAGGGAAAAAGACAGTACTTTAGGAAGAAAATTACGTGGGATGGTTAAAAACCACTATCAGGTTGAAAAATCTGTTCAAACACTCTACATTAATTTTAAGAGCTTCAAATAAATGTTTAAAACACAACCCTGGATATGTTCCCCTGTCTTTCATGATTTGCTATATGAATCCAGAATAGCGACTCTGTCACATCGTGTGGGTCTGACTGCTGTCAAGTGCAATGACAAATTAGGATAAATAGATACATTTCCATACTCGGAATTATGTATTTTCTTTAAAGAGACAACTGGCAGCAGAAACGATCAATTCTTTGGAGAATGTAGTTTGATTAAGCACTAAATTCTGACCAGAGAACAACAATCTTTTATGGCCCATATGGATGAAATAGAAAGTGAAATGAGTCTTTTGGCAGTTTCCTGTTCTTGTGGTTCAAAAGAATTCATGTTGATTTCTGAGTGATTTCAACAGAGCGTGTTCTGCTGTTGTCAGATGCCTAACTATGTTCATTTTCTTACAAATGTTATTGTGGAGAGTAGTCAAAGAATTTATATGAAGTTCAGTTTAATTGACCTATGATTTTTCTTTCTTTTAATGTATATCACGTGGTATCCAGTAGCCCGATAGATTGCCAAAGGACTGCCCCCCGCTTGGTGGTTGCGGCCGAGGGAGGCCTTTCTAGCTCTTGCCCTCCACAGTCTTCCCACTTCCATGCTTCGGAAAGGTAGAGGGGCTCTTTTCCCCACTGGGATGTCTTCGATAATGAAAACTATGATCTAACTCTTATAAGTCTGTTTATCACTGACCGAATTACTTACGTGGAAAACACATAGAGCCTGTATATGTGAAACCTTTGATCTAACTCTTACAAATCTACTTGACTAACCAAATTACTTATGAAGGAAATACATAGAGATGATTTTTTGCCTTTGATTTTAAGCATTTGTAGATTATTAGATTTTTTTTTCCTATGACTAAATTTGATTCTCTGGAAATTATTATGGCTAAGCATATAGCTCTTCCTAATTTTGTGGAGTGCTTTGCAAAACAGAATAATGAAATAAAAATTGGTAATATGACTTTTGCTTTGTGTCTAGGGTTGTTCAACATATAAGTTTATAAGATCTTTCGTGTAAGGGGAGTTATTATAGCTCTTTAATTAGCTTCTTAGACTGTCTGAATAATGGAATCCTGTTGCCCCAGCATTTCTAAAATGGAATTTTGGGGCGTAGCCTAGGGTGGATCTTTAGGTTTAGGGTCGTAGGTTTATATTTTCCTCTGAGGTTCCTGCCTCCATTCCCTCCATGTTGTCCACACTCCAAGCTACGTGGTGGACGTACATGGTTTATAAACTTTAACAAATGAAGCTCTGATTGACTTCTGCATGGGAAACTGTTTTTCTTTTTGATTAAAGAGACACCTCTCAGGATGTGCTTCATTTGGAGGTTACATGTACAGAGGAAAGGCCATTTTGAAAGGAGGTAAACTAAGCTGTGAACAGTTAAAACTAACTTGCCTACGTGGGACTGGCAAACTCCTGAAAACTATCACGTGGTTAATAAATGCATTATTTACAAAAACCCATCATGGACCTTGTGAGCTTACTTTTTTGAACAACCCTTGACCTTAAAAGTCTCATATTTGATAATGGGAAACTTCGGGACCACCGTCTTTCTCCTGAATCACACTCAGCACTGGGGGACCTTTCCCCGACTCACCTTCTGTCAGTCTGAATCCCGCAGAACGTGGCGTGTCTGTTTGCGTCCAGAATCCTTTTGACAAAGGCTGGTGTTGCCCACGTACTGCCATTTATCCCGGTGGCGTATCGGGCGTGAGAGGTGGGACTCTGAGCTCGTGACTTCCACACGGGGCTCGTTTCTCTATGAATGAGTTTGCAAACCTGAATAGCTCTGTGGGAACGTGGGGCTTGTGGTGTTTGTGCAAGGATCGGGACAGCTGGTGTTCTGGAGCTGGTGCCGCAGGAGACCTGTGCTCAGCGTTCGCCTTCTTCTAGAGCTGGGGTTGGCTAGCCACAGCCGGTGGGCCAGCCGTGGTCTCCTGGGACTACAGCCGGTTCGTTCACGTATTGTCTGCGGCCACTTTGTGCTACTGTGGCAGAATTGTGCGCTTCTGACAGAGATCGCATGACCCACAGAGCTTGGCGTATTCAGTCTCTGGCCTTTCACAGACGAAGTGTGCTGACCCCCTGCTCCAGAAAAGCTCTAACGGGCTTTACTGACTTGAGTGCAGAGGGTAAGACAGTTCATTGTTCCACAAAATAGAAATTATATTTTTTGTGGTAAAATGTAACAGCAGGAGCCTTTTAAACCAGGGATTTGAGGTTTGGGTGCAATGCTGTTGAGGATAGGAAGCCAATTACAGTGGACTTTTTCTGCGATGACTCTGGAGAAAAAATGGATTCAGGTCACGGTTGTGGACACACCGGTGCCGGGAAGGCAGTGACCCTCCTGTAATTGTGCAGGGCTAGAGGGAGCAAGGGAGGTTGGGAGGCGATGAGCACTTTACCGCCTAGATGAGTGGGGCGCTCAGTCTTCCTCCTGTGGGACCACTTCCCACGGGGCGGAACAGGGTGTGTGTGCGTGTTTGTGTGTTGGGAGAGCTGTCCCACTGTATACACCCCCACGATATGCTGCCTCAGGGTCCTCCTGTCCACACATGGCAAAATAAAGCGTGAGGGCCGCACTGTAGCCATGTACCACCTGGATGGTTTGGTGGGCCGTGGGCACCACGGGCGATGAACCAGCCCCTGAGCACCTTGGTGTGAAATGGAGGGCAGAGAGAGAGCAGTCAATCTCTTTGGTCCAAATGGCTGGACTGAAGAGATCTGGGCCCAGTTTAGCCATTCAGGGTCCCTATTGGTTTCATCTCTGCCTGCTCCTTGTCCTGACAGGAAGCTATGTTCAGCTGGAGTTGAAATCTAACTCAGACAGGTCTGTGAGGCCAAGCACGACGGTGAGTGGGGACCCAGGAGAGTGTGAGGTCTGTGGAAGGGGGTGCGAAAGGAAAACATGGCAGCTCTGTCCCCCGCGTCATGTAACACCGTCGTCTTACTCTGGGGGAAAGGACGCAAGAGAGTAAAGGCAGGGAGAGATTAAATGGATATATTTTCTCATCCAGATGTTGTTTAGGAGACTGTGAGAAGTTTGTAGACAAGTTGATTACTCTTGGCCGGTCACTCTGGCTGGACAGAGGGAAAACTTCGTTCAGGTCTAAAGAGTAGATAGAAATAGGGAAGGTGGAGAGACGAGAACACAAGTTACAACCACTTAAAAGCTGGCCTGAGAATTAAGCCTCGTGATACGTTGTTACAGAACAAGCCTTAGCCAACAGGTGGATCTTTGAAGTATTCCTGGAAGATAGAGTATTTAATGAAATCTCAGCATAGAGGCTCCTGCCACGTGAGGGAGTTTGAGTTTATTCTTGGCATCTGGAATTTGCGGCAAAATTGGCACGTGATGGTTTCCCTGTTTTTGAAGGCAGTGCAGATTCATAAATATTTTAAAAATGGAATATAATGGGTGCATGTCTGAGATAGGCAGGACCCCCTTTGCACTGAGAGCTGACAGACTCGGTTTGGAAGTTGAGAATGCAGGAGAGGGGAGCTTGGGGGGAGGTGGGGAAGGATGGGTGGTTTGGAGATGAGAACAAGCTTTTTTTCCCCTTTCTACTTTTATCTCTCTTTTCCTTAATTTTCCTTTCTACATGCCTCTTCTCAACTTTACCTGGAACTGGGGGGCAGGTTGGAATAGGTTACCCAAATTGGGAGCTCCTTCCACCTGGCTGTGTGTTCTGTGGACCCCTGGTGGCCACAGAGGGGAATGTCACGAAGCTTGTGTGCATTTTCTGGGCTGTTTGAACCATAGAATTCTGGACCAAAAAACATCTTAAAAAGTTTCTCTTCCCAGTTTAATCATGGATTTGTGTTTTTCTTAAGTCCTTCAGGTTCTCGACCTTCAACACCTAAAAGCGATTCAGAATTGGTCAGTAAGGCCACCGATAGGACGATGCAGAAGAATAACCTAGAAATGCTTTGGCTTTGGGGAGAATTGCCACAGGCAGCAAAGGTACGTTTTTCCCCCTCAGTCCTGCCATACATCGAAGATAGTTTCTAAAAACATGAAACGGGCACAATCTTTTCTTTGACGAAATTTTGTTTCATATTGCAGTCTATTAAAAGAATCTTGAATATATTACTATAAAATTTTTTCTAACATTGTAAAGCTCCTAGAAGATGCTCCAACTTCCTGTATCCCCAGTAAATATTTGTAATATGAATGAATGAATGAGTGAACATTGAAAGCATTTCTATTAAGAATCCCGATGGGCAACTCTATGGAGGGAAGATCTGTTGAGGTAGAGTTGTGGATGCTCTCCTTTTCTGGGCTGTATTTAGCTTTTGTGGACAATGCTGATTTCTCTGCCCACAAGCTGTAGTGCTGACCCAGCTAGCCGTCTTTACAAGCTCATGTCATTTGTTGCTGGAGAAGTGGCATGAAAGTGAAGTGCTAACCCATCACTTCTTCTGGCAAAACGCTCCCAACCACAGACGGGCCATAGCGTTGTTTTCATTGTGCTAGAGCCGTGAGATCGAATACAGGAATGAATACCCTCCCTCTCCCCTCCAACCCCAGAAATTGCATTCTGGTTTTTGTTCGGATAAATCTTTTCCCTAACTGGACACTCCTTGGAGAAGTAGAATCAGAAATGCTAATTTCCCACTTATGTGAACCAACCACTTATTCACTTAGTTTTGGGGGTAAACTTTATTAAAACGTAGCATGTGTACAGAGAAATGCCCGGATCTTAAGTGCACAGATCGGTACATTTTCGCACTGTGAATGTGTTCACGGGACTTGCACCCAGAGAGAAGCAGGGCTTAATCAGCCACTTGGAAGCCCCACCCTTTGCAGGTACCGCTCAAACTGCTCCCCCACAGAAGGATAAATGTCCTCCTGCCTATCACAGGAGAGATGAGCTTGGCAGCCGTCATCATGCTATTATGTGTCATTGTAATTCGCTTGTCATTGCTGCGAACTACCCATCCTGTGAGTAACTTCCCGTTCTATGGATGGACATTGAGTACTTGAGCTACTTCTGTTTGTTGGCCTTTACCGATCCCACTTCATTCTCTTTGGCAGTCGATGTTTTATATGAAAGTTCATGTGCTTTGGAACTGGTATCCTTCTGTTTAGATTCTTTTGGCAGAAGGGAAATCACCGGGTGACTCCTGAGGCTTAACTGTCTCTCTGCGAAATGGGCAGACAGTTGTGCAGATTGTTAATGGGTTAACTTTTTCTTCGGTTAACTCCTTTTTTCTCTTTGCCCATGCTCTGACCATTCTGTCTGTCTGTCTGTCTGTCTCTGCCCCTTCGACATAGTCCTCTCCACACAAGATGAAAGACTGCAGCCCGTTAAACAGTAGAAAAATCTGTGAAAAGATGCACTTTCAGACCATCCAGAGTGAGTCTTCAGATGCATTTAGTGACCAGTCGCCAACCCTGGCCAGGCCTCCCGTGCTGCCCGTTCCAGAGTCGGGCAGGCCTCCCACGGAGATGCAGTTGGTGAACGAAGAAGATGTCGAGGCCTTGGGGGCGGCAGCCCCGCCTTTACCTACGATCGAAGAACCCAAATCCCTCTCTGCCAGCGTAGCCCCGACGGCAAGCAAGACAGATTCTCCTTCCAGGAAAAAAGGTGGGAAGGCCGGTGCGCCCCAGCTCCTTCTGTGTAGACTTGGTGCTCTGCACGTTCCCCATCCTTCCCTTGGAGGTCCCTAGTGCGTCAAGGGGGAGGCCGGACCAGGACAGCTTTCTGCTGAAGATGTTAGCAGAATTTAATTATAGAATCAGACCGAAGGAACCCTTGGGCGGGGGGGTGTCATGAGCCCCCTCACTTTCTAGATTGGGGCGCTAAGATCCAGAGGCATGAAGTCTTTTTCACCCACTTGGGGCTCTGGAGGAAGTTGATTATTGAGCTAATCCTGGTCTCCTCATGCCCTGCCCCCAGTTTCTGTCTAGCACGTTGCCTGGTTTTGATTTCTGCATGCTGCGTATCACTATTTCGGGGGATCACTTGTTTATATTTTTTTTTGCCGGGAACTCCCCTACTAGAATATATGTGCTCTATGAGATCAAGAACCTTTTGGTCTGGTTTACCTTTGTTTCCTCTGTGCTCAGAATAGTCACTGCTCCGTAATGGCTGGTAGAATACACACGGTGGCACGTCAGGAGGGGTGACGTCAGGAGGGATGACGTCAGGAGGGGTGACGTCAAGCCTGCTCAGTTAACCGCGTGGTGTGGTGCAGTTTTCTAGATTTGTGTGAACCAGTGGCGTAGTTCTCTGGCAGAAGGAGACAGGAAGTCCGCGGTCATGGTGCGCAGTGACCGCCCATGCGCCGTGTAGGCCCCCGGGCCTGGGACTATGGATCCCAGGATGTGCTTAATGAAAGCTTTCATCATTGAATAATGATGGTGGCAGTCGCTTCAATAGATTGAGTGCTCAGTACACGTCAGGCACTTCACAGATGGGGGACGGAGCCTGGCAAGGTCGTGTAACTCGGTCAGGGGCACGCTCTTGGCAGTGGTGGGGTCGCGCAGGCTTGGTGAGTCGGCCTCCGGAGTCCTGCCACGCTGCCGGCCTCCAGCTCGTGTATTCGTGGGCCAGTGGGGACACTTTGGAGCAAATTTGCACATTCTGTTTAAGTGCTTTCCGGAGCTCCTCACAAGTCCATGGAAGACCGGGCTCTGACTCGACCCGTTTGCTCTTTCAGACAAACGAAGCAGGCATCTTGGTGCTGATGGCGTCTACTTGGATGACCTCACAGATATGGATCCTGAAGTGGCTGCCCTGTATTTTCCCAAAAAGTAAAATTTCTTTTTATTCCTCGTATCATTTTCTGTGTTAATCTGTGTGAGTCTGGTTTCTCCCCCCTTATATTTGATGGGAAGGTGAGTAAGAAAAGGGAGGCTCGGATTTTACTGTGAAAAGCTGCCAGTAAATAATGGACTTTCTCTGGAGACACGTGTGTGGCCATCTCTGTGTGGCTGGCTTCCCACCTTCCGAACAGGAAGGCAGGCCCCAAGGCTGGCTGCCGGGGAGACACCACAGTCGCGTCGCGGGGGGTGGTGGCCCACAACCCCACTCAGTGGCCAAGAGGGGGCAGCTGCACAGCCCTCTCCCTCCCCAGGAGAGATTCTCCCATGGCCCCCGAGGATGGTAGCGAGATCCGTGGCCTCTGAGGACAGCGTGCTTTCCCTGCCGTTCATTTCACGTAGGCTTGGAAGGCGACACGGGGAGGACAATAGGCTAAAATAATTGCTTCTCTCCCAAGGTAGTTGATTTCATTTGTCTGTCTTTGTCACGGTCCTGAGATGAGCTCCTTCACTACTCGGGAGCCGTTTGCTGTCTGTGATGTCAAAACATCTCCCCTCTTCCTTCTCCCAGCGGAGATCCTTCTGGACTCTCCAAACACGCCAGCGACAACGGGGCCCGGTCTGCCAACCAGTCCCCGCAGTCCGTGGGCAGCTCTGGCATCGACAGCGGCGTGGAGAGCACGTCGGACAGCCTGAGGGACCTGCCATCCATCGCCATCTCCCTGTGCGGGGGCCTCAGCGACAATCGGGAGATAACCAAAGGTACCGCCTGGGAGCCTGGCCCTGGAGCCCGTCTTCGGGCCACGAGCGCCCTCGCGTGGCCAATGGCCAGAACGTCCGGAAGCCTGGGCTCCTCTAGTTCATGTCCAAAGTCGCTGTTCACTTGGCCGGGTTCGCGAGAGCACAGACGACTCACTGCAGCTCGCGGCCCAAGTGCTGCTGGCTTGCAGTTGGCTGCCCTGAGGGCTCTGTTCACACATGGCTTCGGTGCCGCTTGTCGTCGGGCGTGTTTGCTGAGCATGATGTGTGTCTCCTTCCCTGTGCCTGTCCTGCAGAGGTGCCCTCCGGAGCCTGCAGCCCAGTGGGAGTGTCAGGGTTATGGGGACACAGGGCACTGGAAGTGTCAGAAAGGCTGTGGGGTCTTGGGGAGGGAGGGACGTCTGAGTCTGAGCACGTTCAGGCGCGCTTGCCAGCTGGATCTCAAGGGTGCTCATAGGCTTGGCGTCAGTGGCGAGTTAATTTGTAGTGTCCGTCAAATCCAGAACGATGGTTTCCCAGTGTCTCGTGACAGCTACGTGGTGAGGTAGCCCCAAGACCCCCAATGGATGCATCAGCCATCACCAACTGATGAATTCCTCGAGTGGTCTTAGTGGCCCTGAGTGTCCCTCTCCCACCTCTCCCACCTCTCCCACCTCCACTGTTCTCTCTTTCTCATCACGCCCCCCCGCCCCCAACAATGGTCTATTTTTCTAGCCGGGAAGGGGTGAGGCTGTGCACTTCATCCCCTTGCCACTCGGGAGCCACCCTCTTCCCTTCCAGCCCTGAGCTGCCACCCTAGACTCCTGTCTATCCCGAAGTCCCTGCAGGGCTTTGTGAAGTTCTTCTCACACAAAAGCTGGGGCCCCTTATTCTGGAACCTGAACCAGCTAATCCATCACCTGGTGCTGAACTGAACATTAAGTTCCTTAATGTGATCCAGCTGGTTTAGTCCATCACAGGAGGTCTTTCTAAGCCCCCCACCCCTCTAATAACCAGCCATGTTGTTTCCAAATCTTGATCGCCAACCACTCTGGGGCCTTGAAGAGGTGAGCACACTCTGTGGGCCAGGAAGAGGTGTGAGAAGGCTGGTGTCCGATGGCTCCCCCTCTCTGGTACACTTGCACACTGAGTGTCCTTTCACGGGGGTTCATACAGATGAGGCCAGATTCCCATGACCAGGAGCCCCAGGAGAGTACCTAGCGGTATGAATTAGGATTCCAAAGGTACATGCCATGGACAGTCTGGGTTGGCGTCCTGACCAAGGGGTCTTTTTCTACTGGACGTGGGTGACTCCCGGTGGTCAGGGTCTGCTGGGTCTCGGTTCCATTCAGGGTATATTGCACCCCCTTAGGGAAGGAGTGGGGACAAATTAGAGCCAGAGAGGTGGGCAGAACCCTCATCAAGGCTCCAGCCAGGGCCAGCTGAATGGGGGATGTCGAGTGGAGGCCAGAGCCTTTGGCCAGAGCTCGTTGCAGAAGCTAGAGTCAGGGCTAAGGTCCAGGGCCTCCGGCCCCTGCGGCCTTCCTGCCTCCCGGAATGTGGTGGGGCTGGGTCAGGAGGCCAGGCCTCACGCTGTCTTCTGCACTTCCTACACGTGACAGTGACCAGCACCTCACCCACTGACATGGAGCAAGCCCTCGCTTTAGGCAGGACATTGTGCTTCCCAGCCTCATAGCCACCGAGGAAGCAGGCGTGGTTCTTAATCCCCACGTTACAGATGAGGGAACCGAGGCTTGGGGAGATTAAGTACTTGCTCAACACAAGCTCACACCAATGAATGTGACTGAAACTGCATGGCCTGGTTTCTAAATCTACTTACCAGTCACCTGCTTCTGTAGCTGCGTAGGGAGACTGCATTTTCCACACACCTGCGCCCTGCCTGGACATACGCTTGCCCCACGTCCTCGGACTGCCCCCAGCCGCCCTTCATTTCTGCACAGACGCTGTCCCCAAACCAACTCAAGCCTCTTTACAAATACGTTTGAAGAATTGTCTATACAGCTGAAAACACTTGTGAATGAGTGAGGGAAACCTAAGCCTGTTTTTTTGAACAAAATATTCCTTCTGTTTTCTCCTTGTTCCCTATGATTGCTTTCATAGATGCATTTCTGGAACAAGCCGTGTCGTATCAACAGTTTGTGGACAACCCGGCTCTCATTGATGACCCCAATCTTGTGGTGAAGATCGGGAATAAGTAGGTTCCTCTTGAAAGTCATTTTGACTGCCTCATGGTACTGTTTGCATTTCAGTTTTTCAAAAGCAGAGACCCAGACAGTAAACCTTAGAAATATGTAAGATGAAGTCTTTGTTAAAATTTATTATTATCTCTTCACTCTTGGCAAATTACCGTGTTGTTATATAGTTGGTAGGTTGGTATAACTGTCAGTCTTGTGGGTTTTAATATTCATGTGTACTAGATATTTCTTAAAAAGATGTATTTATTTATTTTAGAGACAGAAAGAGAGCATGAGCGGGAGGGACAGAGGGAGGGGGAGAGAGAGGATCTCAAGCAGACTCCCTGCTGAGCGCAGAGCCCGATGTGGGGGCTCGATCTCACAACCCTGAGATCACAACCTGAGCCGAAACCAAGAGTGGGGCACTTAGCCGACTACGCCACCCAGGCGGCCCCATACTAGATTTTATAGTGGAATGCATCCAGTCTCGGCCCTTGGCCTGTGAGCCGCAGGCCCACATTGTCCGCGGGCATCACAGCATAGACTGCTTATCTACCCCGTGAAGGCTTCGGTGTCTGGAGTCAGGGGACGTGCAGGTGTTCTTGTAGACTGTTAGCAAACTTTTCTCCCTGAGAGGAAGTCCAGGGTGTTTAGGTATTAACTTGGGGTACCTAGTTGCCTTTTCCATGAGGTGTGGCAAGTCTCTGCTTGGCCCCCAAGAGCAGCTGCTGTGGGGTCAGCAGGGTGAAGGGCACATGGGGGAGGGCCGGGGTGTTGGCAACAGCATTGGGCTCATTAAGGAGGCAGCCGGGGTTCCAGAGCTTTCCTTGACTGTTCCTCGTGACATTAGGAGATTTTTCAGTCCGAGCCTCGGTCTTTGACATCTATTTCTTTTTTCCACGTCAGGTATTATAACTGGACGACGGCCGCGCCTCTGCTCCTGGCAATGCAGGCCTTCCAGAAACCCTTGCCAAAGGTGAGCTTGAACACGAGGCGGAAGAGGTGGCACTAAATACCACAGGCAGAGTAATCCGGGTGGTTGGAATTTAACTTTTACTTCAGAACCACAACGTTAATTACGTTGCGTTCTTTTGAAGTTCATGGTTATAGGTTATAGAAGTTCCAGGGGTCTGGAATCTGCCTCTCTTGCACCCTGAAGGTCCTTCCCCTTCCTGCTTATCGGGGCGAAACCTCCCAGTCCCGAGTCCTGCCCCTTCCGGGGCTCCTTTCCCGACACCTGCCATGCTAGGGACGGAGGTGGGGGCAGAGGGGGTAGATGCCCAGATGTCAGAGCCCAGGGGTGGCGAGGGGACAAGAGAGAAGGGCTGGAGCCAATGGCAGTGTGGGTGCAGGGAGACAGAGCATCAGATGTGAGCCGGGAAGCAAGCCCCGGGCCTCACTGGCCGAGGAGGGGAGAGTGCAGGGCCGGCAGCCCCTAGCCGCACGAGAGGGCAGGCGGTGGCCGCGGGAAGAGGCAGGGCTAGAAGGGCAGGCGGGCCGCTGTAGCCCCCCATGCTGTCGTGCTCCCCCGAGGTCTCCCCGGACACTTGGCCTGGAACTGTTCAGTTTTTCCACCTTCTATCTTCCTACTAGATTATACGTTCTTTCTGCTGCAAAGACCGTGTCTTACCTTGTCTCCCTCGTCCGCTCAGCAAGAGCTTCGTGTGGTTTGGATATTGTAGCCATCAGATAGTTGTGATATCCGAGGTTCTTGAAAGTCTGCTCTGACGTCGTTGGGCCCGTGCTCACTCCTTCCTGCGTGTGCGCGTGTGCGGGGGGTGCGTGCTTGGATGTGCACATACCTGTGTGGGTAGCTTTGGGGTTTGGAGATTGTGACCTCCTCCGTGGTGGTACTTTATCTGAGGTCTTGTTTTCCTCCCTGGTTTTGTTTTGTCCCTGCTGGCTTCCCTGTCCCCTCTTGGTATTCATGGCCCAGGATAAATTTTTATGTTACATTTCTCAGCTCTTAACAAATCAGGAAGAAAAAAGACCAATGCAATAGAAATATCCTTTAACTTAAAGGGGTTTAGCTCACAAAAGACGTGTGCATGGCTCCTAAGCTGAGGCTTTGTGATATCCTTTACAAGCTGTCAGTAAATCTTTGACTCTGCTTATGGTGTTTCTTAATGTAGAATTAGTTTTGTATGTAGAATTTGTCCATCCTTTAAGGCTGTTGGGTCTTGTATCACACTTAGAATGGCCCTGCTTCCCCATTTCTGAAACTTGTGAAAATATGCTAGCTTTCCCCCGGGTACTTTCTTTTTTTTTCTTTTTTCTTTTTTCTTTAGGTTCCCTGCCTAGCGTGGAGGCCAATGTGGGGCTTGAACTCACGACCCTGAGATCAAAACCTGAGCTGAGATCAAGAGTTGGATGCTTAACCCCCTGAGCCACCCAGGCGCTCTCCCCTAGTACTTTCTTAAATCTCTGATCTGTCTAGGTTTTATTTTGTGAGTGAGTGAGGTATCAGGAACCAAATCAGTTCTTTCCCAGCTGGTTACTGAATCATGATGCTTTGTAGGAAACAATGACCACGAGTAGCTTGAATAATAAGGGTTTATGATCTGACATAGCAAGAATCTTCAAGGTTGGTAGTTTCAGGGTGAGCGTCTCTGTGATTGTCTTGGCTTTCCCTTTATGATCACAAGGTGGCTGTCCCCCACATCATCCTCTCCAACAGCCACACCCCAAATAGGAAGGATGAGACAGACTTCTCACATTTCATTGGCCACAGCTTGGTCACATGATCACCTCCAAACCAGTTGCTGGCAAAACAGTAGAATGAACGTGAATGGCGTAGATGAAGCGAGGTCAGAACATATTGCGCCTGATTCCTAAACAGAGTTTTGGATGTGTTGGCAAGAAAGAAAGGGGATGATGTGCCCAGGGAGGCAAGTAACCGGGTCTGGCATAGCTACCTAATTATCTCAGTACCTTTTGTTAGATAACTCTTCCCCCCACTGATAGGCAGTTATAGCTACAGTGTGTATGATATTTCTTCATGAATTTAGATTCATTTCTGGACTTTGTCTTCTGTTCCATGTATATGTTTACTCATGTACCAACATGCATTCTTATAATTATGATAGATTTTCAGTATATTTTAGTATCTAGTAAGGCTTGTACCTACCTAATAATACTCTTCTGTCTGTGAGTTTTCTTGGCTATTTTTATTTGTTTTATAAATGAACTTTAGAATTGCTTTGTTTAGGTGTGAAAATAATCCTATTAGTTTTTTCTTTAATTGGGGTTTTGTTACATTTATGGATGAATTTAGGAGGAATAGGGTAATCGACATCTGTATGAATTATCCTCTTTATGAATAGGTTACTCATGGTTTGCTTTCCCGTGTATTCAGTTTCTTTTGTATCAAGTAGGGATTTTTAAATGATAACAAGAAGCACAATAGGCGAAATATGTAAATTTTTTAATCTCTCACTTAACCTGAAGCCTGTTTGGTCAAAAGATGTAAATTGTTCTTTCGTTACTGGTGGGGGGTGTCCGTTCCCTGATAGTTCTGTGAACCAAGGAAGGGAGAGGAAATACTGTTTACCTGGTGCTGGAATTCGCCTCAAGATAGATATTTTCTTCTTTGGAAATTTTCTTTTAGAAAATTATTAATTAATATTTAATCTTCCCCCATTAAACTTTGATTTATTTAGGGCGTGAGTATGAGTTTTCTTTTTAATACTTGAGGTTTTGACCCAAAGGCATCTACTAGGGTTCAGTTTGTCCCAATTTGGCGATTTACATTTACTAAAGAGATCCTGTGCATTTTACTCTTTGTTTAAAACCGTTTTACCCTATATTCCATATTAATCATTTCATTTTTTAATTTTATAATCATCATACTGAGAGTAACAGTAGTTTAACCAGTAAATCACTTTAATTTGAAAACCTCTGATCTTAACTAATCACTAATGATTTTCAATGCTTTCTTTTTCTGTTGTTGTTGTGTTGTATTTTATTTGTTGTTTGTTTATTCCTTTAACATCTTCTTAAGTCTTCATGCTTAAGTTATCTTCATGTGGTTTTGGATGCCATTAGGTTTTGCTTCTCGAAAATTTTTGGTCCACAAATAGTATGTTGTGTTTTCTCTGATTTTTTTTTTTTTTTTAATCTTACTTTAATTTGCGCGTGTGTGTCTTTTGGTTTGATGTGCTAAGTTGATCTTTTTTTGGTTCCATTATTTATGTTACCATCCATTTAAAACAGGCTACTGTGGAATCTATCATGAGGGATAAGATGCCCAGAAAGGGAGGAAGATGGTGGTTTTCATGGAGGGGAAGAAATACCACAATCAAAGAGGTAAGCATGGAAAACAAAAGGGTGTTTCTACTTAGCTCAGCCAGTTTGGGGGTTTGTGTAGTGGAGTGTGTTTTCATGCTTGTATGTCAGAGAAATAAGCACAAGCCATAATACTGAGTTTTCACGAGCTAGCTCTGCGTTGAAGCAGGGAAAGGCATCCCAGAATGTAGGGAAGGCACAGAGGAAGGGGAGGTGGGGGTTCACCTCCCAACCCTGTTTCCTGGCTGGGAGCCCAAGGCCAAGTCACCGCCCCTCTGGAATTTCTTCATCTGTCAAAAGAAGGGATTCAATCCGATAGTTTAATTTTCTTTTTTAAGTTAAGTATCTTCTTGCTGTTTGTGAGTATAACTGTAATGAGGCAATACTTAGAGTGGTAGACTAATTCTCATCAGTCCTTTCACTTAAATGGTGTGTCTAAATATGCATGACTTTGGTGTCCCTTTCTCTAAATGCCTGTACTTTTTTCCAGGTCTCTGTCAGCCTCTTCACCTATTTCTTAAAGCACTTTCCTTGCTTGACCTCCATGCCCCTGTGTCCGCCTGGCATTCTTCCTCCCAAGGCTGGCCCCACTCTGGCTCTGCCCCCACAGGGGGGTCGTTGGGGGTTGTCCTAGGGTCTTATCTTCTGCTTAGACCGCCTACCTTTCCCTAGGCAACCCCACTCACCCATGTTTGATTTCCAAACCATTCTTTTGTATTTCCTGTCCGTTTATCAAGTAGCCAGCACTGTGGACATCTCCATGTGAATGCTTCCAGACACTTCGAACTGGGTCGTTTCCAAGACTGAACTCACGGTTTTCGTGCGAATTCTTCCTTTGTTGGACCATAGTCAGAAAATGGTGCCAGTGTCCCTTCACGGGCTAGACCCTTCCTTTTTCCTCATTTCCCACATTCAGTTCATCACCACGCCCTATCAATTTACCATCTTAAATATTTCTCAGACGTACCCATCTCTCTCCAGTTCCACTCCCCCAAGTGTAGGCTAGCACCCTCTGTCCCAGGATTACTTCCTGTGGTCCACTGGTCTCTTCTTGCCCTCTCTTTCTCAGCCTCTATAATGTAGTTGCATTAGTCGATGTAGGATACTGGTCCAATTTATGTTATTCCTTCCTTAAAAGCTTTTGGGTTCCCAGGGCTCTCATAATTAAGACCAATATCCTTAACGTGGTTCACTGTGTTTGTGTGTCATAGCCCCTGCCTCCCTCTTTAGCCCTTTTTTGCCCTTCTACCCCCTGCCCTCCCTGTTTTAGCTTCACTGGCTGAACGTACACTCTCCCCCAGGACTTTTGCACATGCCGTTTCCTCTGCCTGGTGTTCCTAGGACCCCTTTACCACCCCCTTCACTTAATTAACTAGCGTCTTAAAAGACTCTTTCTCAGCAGATTAGTCTGGGCTGCCGTTCTCTGTTCTTATAGTCCCACACGGGACTGGGGGAAATGCTTTCATACATTTTTGCCAGGTTTGTAGTCGTACACGTATTAGTGTGACTATTTGATTAACATCTCTTTCTCCTCCACATCCTAAACTCCAGGAAGGCAGAGACCATGTCTGGCTCTGATCCCTGGATATCCCTGGTGCCCATATTGGACACATAAGAGGGGTTTGGCGAATATTAGAGGGAGTGCTGATTACTTTTGGAATATAGTGTAAAGAAACCCCAAGGACAGCAGTCAAGTTGGTTATTATAATACTGACAGAAACCCCAGTGAGCTCAATGTATTTATTCCATGAGTTCAAAGGGAAAAAGTCTTGTGGAAGGGTTTTATCAAGATAACATTGTTCTTTCACATTTTCTTAGCATATCCAAGTTTTACCGATTACCCCATTATCTTCAAGGGGTATAAACAAGTTAGACCAAACATATGCTTTACTTGAGGTGGCTTAAAACCTAAAGGGCCTTTCTAGTTCCCTTACTAGAGAGTAGAATGTTCTAGAATTTAGGCAAAGGGCTATTTCCTATTTCAAAGGCCTATTTATTGTAGGGTATTCACATTGTCACCAGTTTGAATTAAGAGGAATGCCAGCATGAAGGAACAGTTATGAAATTAAATATTTCTTAAAAAAATGGAAATACATTTATTTCAGATAGATATATATATTTGAACTTGTCTAATAAAGCATTGTGGATAGTGGTGGCTAAGTTACCTCAATACATAGATTAAAAATTACTGAGTACATTGTCACATCAATTATTTGTGTGCTTATAAAAAGCTGAAGAATATTTGGAAATAGTTTGTGCTCATCCTGTGTTAAGATGGTCACCCTGATATATTATTTATTTCGCTCGTTTTCTTTCTTTCTTTCTTTCTTTTTTTTTTTTTAAAGATTTTATTTATTTATTTGAGAGAGAGAATGAGATAGAGAGAGCATGAGAGGGGGGAGGGTCAGAGGGAGAAGCAGACTCCCTGCTGAGCAGGGAGCCCGATGCGGGACTCGATCCCGGGACTCCAGGATCATGACCTGAGCCGAAGGCTGTCGCTTAACCAACTGAGCCACCCAGGCGCCCTCGCTCGTTTTCTTTATTAACATTGAAAACATTAACCTGCCTCCTGACCAAATGGTCCCAAGTAATGGGATTTAATTGTACATCCTTTGTCCTTGGGTAACTCTGCCTGATGACTTCCCATGAAGTCTGTGGGGCCGGTGGGTGTCTTCTCCTCCCTAGCCAGCTGTGGGCCAGGCTGTGTGTGTGTGTGTGCATGTGTGTGCGTGCACGCAGCTTCTCTCTGGTCCTCACAGCAGCGTTAGGAGATGGATGTTATCCTGCCCCCCCTTTATAGGTGAGGAGACAAGGCTCTGGAAGGTTCCAGGACTTGCCCAGATCTCGTAGAGTTCCAGAGCTCTTTCCAGTGCATTGAAGGAGCATTTCCTATTAAGAGTGTGTGGTGTTGAGAAAGAGAGAAGGCGTCCACGTTTTCCCAAGCAAAATATGGCGTGAAAGTATTTTTGAGCATTTCTATCAGCAATTATAAGAAAATATTTTGAAAATATTCGGGCATCCAGGCAGCCCTTGATAAAGCATTTGCATAAGCTCCCGTGATTATGAAGTTTGGTTTGGTGCCATGAACACTTACGGAAAACAGACTCATTTCTGTCAAAAGAATTTTCTCAGCTTCATTGAACGCTTCCAAGCAGAGGAATGACTGGGACCTGCCATGCCTGGGGCGTGTAACGCTGGGGACGGCACTGGGGGCCCTGCCCCGGGCTTGGGGGAGCCCGTCGTGGGACCCCGGCAGTGTCGTGCCGGTCCTTCTCTTTGGTACCCCATGACTCTTTCTTGTCTCCTCCTCCAGGAAAGTAAGCCGGAGCAGGGCTTGGCTGGAAAGAGCCACAGCACCGGGGAGCAGCCGTCGGCGCTCAGCACGGCCACCAGGTATGGCGCCAGTCCACGTGGGCTCTTGCGGCCCCTTTCTGCGTCCCAGGGCGTGGCCCGTGCCTGCCGGCTGCTGATGGGGTTCACCAGATATACAGGCAGACCTGGCTCGCAGGCCTGGCTCCGTGCTTGCCCAACGACCTGGAGCCATTTACCTCGCGTGGTTTCCCGTGATCGATCGAATGGAGGCAGTTGCCCCCTTGGACGTCTACCGGGCAAAGTAAAGGCGAGGCTTCAGGGAGGCCGCGGAACTCGAGCGCTGCTCAGGGTCTTGTTGTGTGATGGCCCCGGACATACAGAATACAACAGCAGTGCTGCTGACCGTGACGATGACAAAATGAGCATTAGCAGCAGCATGGAAATGAGTTTCTTTCCGAAGGAAATTGCCTTTATGGCTTAAATACTTCCTGGGGCTTATGTTGATACTTTTCTAAGTATTGATATGGGCTCACATGAACTTGGCAGCTGATCAGTACTATTATGTTTTGTCTTCAGGTTAATCTGTTTGTACAGGATTTGAGGGTAACTCTGATCTGAGGGCAAAGCCTTCGCGCACTAGTTATGATGCTAATAATGTATATCGATGCCGAATGAGCTGATGTAGCACCTTTTACCTGTCACCTTACCTTTAGAGTATCCCTGCGCTTAAGCAAGCCAGGATTGCCTTCCTTATTTAGCAGGTGGAAAATACTAACAAACTGATGGAAGGCAAGAGGCGTATCTTAATCATTTTTGTATCGTAGAGGCTAAGCCAATGCCTGACACAGCGGGTGCTTCATAAGTATTGTTTTTTTTTTTTTTTTAAAGATTTTATTTATTTATTTGAGAGAGAGAATGAGATAGAGCATGAGAGTGGGGAGGGTCAGGGGGAGAAGCAGACTCCCCGCCGAGCAGGGAGCCCGATGCGGGACTCGATCCCGGGACTCCAGGATCATGACCTGAGCCGAAGGCAGTCGCTTAACCAACTGAGCCACCCAGGCACCCTTTTTCTTTTTTTAATTTGGTTTTTGTTGGTTTTCTCTTTTGATTTCCTGTTTTCAATCTTATTAATTTCTACTCCAGTATTTATTATTTCTTTTCTTCTGCTTACTTTGGATTTAATTTTCTCATCTTTTTCTATATTCCTTTTTTTTTTTTAAATTTTATTATGTTATGTTAGTCACCATACAATACGTCATTAGTTTTTGATGTAGTGATCCACGATCCATTGTTTTCGTATAACACCCCGTGCTCCATGCAGTACGTGCCCTCCTTAATACCCATCACCGGGCTAACCAATCCCCCCTCCCCCCTCCCCTCTGAAACCCTGTTTGTTTCTCAGAGTCCGTGTCTCTCATGGTTCATCTCTCCCTCCAATTTCCCCCCCTTCATTTTTCCCTTCCTTCTCCTAATGTCTTCCATGCTATTCCTTATGTTCCATAAATAAGTGAAACCATATGATAATTGACTTTCTCTGCTGACTTATTTCACTTAGCATAATCTCCTCCAGTCCCATCCATGTTGATGTGAAAGTTGGGTATTCATCCTTTCTGATGGCTGAGTAATATTCCATTGTATATATGGACCACATCTTCTTTATCCATTCACCTATTGAAGGGCATCTCAGCTCTTTCCACAGTTTGGCTATTGTGGACATTGCTGCTATGAACATTGGGGTGCATATGGCCCTTCTTTTCACTACATCTGTGTCTTTGGGGTAAATACTCAGTAGTACAATTGCTGGGTCATAGGGTAGCTCTATTTTTAATTTTTTGAGGCACCTCTACACTGTTTTCCAAAGTGGCTGTATGAACTTGCATTCCCACCAACAGTGTAAGAGGGTTCCCCTTTCTCCACAACCTCTCCAACATTTGTTGTTTCTTTCCCTGTCCATTTTTGCCATTCTAACTGGTGTAAGGTGGTATCTCAGTGTGGTTTTGATTTGGATTACTTCGTAAGTATTGTTGGGCTATTACTGAATTGGTAAGTTTTCCCCAGCACGTTGTTGATTCATAGGAGAGGCAGGCTAAGAGCGCACGTCCTGGCCTCCTGGCCATAGCTCTGCCTCATCAGCTGTTTTATTTCCAGAATCCCCTGCGGAAATAGAAACCCACAGAGGAAGAAGTAGGAAGAAATCTGGTTTCTTCATTGTTCTGTGTGTAGAAGAACGTGCAGGACCTTTTGAAGATGACTCAAAGAGGCCTCGCCAGCTCTCGGCTGGAGTATTACTGGGGGCACCCTTGCTGGTTCCCATGGGGGGGGGCCCGGCACTGCTGGTTCCCATGGGACCCTCTGCTCCTCCACGCTGGAGAGGGAAGCGGGGTTGACTTTCAGTTTTTTGCCCTCCATTTCTGGCTGGTTCTCTGGAAAAGGGCTTTCAGACATGATTTTCTGGATACCTTCCCAACCTGGAATGTTGAGTGTGACTTTGAGGGAGCTCGGTAGGGAGAAGGTGGGTGTGTTCTAGATGGAGCGCAGGCTGAGGATGTGCTGTCCTGTGCGGGGACGTGCACAGCAGGCGGGCTGGAAGCCAGTGGACTGTCGGTGGGGTCGTCGTTCACGCCCACGAGTGGGCAGCAGGCCGTAAGCAGCAGGCTTGGGAGTCGGGCGGACCTGGTTTGGAATCCTGGCTTTGGGGAAACTGGTTTCTGTATCCGAGCAGAGGAACAGGTGTGATGTTCATGTCCAGAGCAGCGGGGGAGGCAGCCCAGGAGAGAGGCAGCACTGTGGGGGGGACACAGGCAGAGGCCTCAGCTCGCCTGTCCTGAGCGTTTAAACCAGCGGTTTAGCTGCACTGGAAACACTCTGCTCTCCGGGAATTCTTTTCAAGAACGCTCTTTGTCCTAGCTACGATTTCCAAACACGAGAGGCAGCATGAGCAGGACATAGAGCAGAGGCTTTGCGAGCCTTCCATGTGAGCTTTGGTGAATTCGTCACCCCACGGTGTCTCCTCCTCCATCTGTAAAATGGGGCTAAGAATGATACCAACCCCACGTATATCCGCTGATTTAATTCTCACGGCATCTTCACGAGAAAGGAGACAAAGGGAATGCAAAACCCCACAGGGCCACACAGGAGGGGTGCTTCTGGCGGCTGCATGGGAGCAGTCAGGAGGCGGCTCTCGGGGGACCTGGCCCAAGGTTGAAAAGGCACAGAACGTGGGGTGCCTGGGTGGCTCAGTCGGTTAAGCGGCTGCTTCTAGGTTTCGGCTCAGGTCACCAGCTCAGGGTCCTGGGATCAAGCCCCGCATAGGACTCCGAGCTCAGAGATTCTCTCTCCCTCTCCTTCTGCCCCTCCCCCTGTGTGCACGCTCTCTCTCTCTTTCTAGAATAAATAAATCAATCTTAAAAAAAAAAGGCACAGGAGGTGACAACAGCTGACAGTGGGGCATGCATCTGCTACTGGTCGGGCCTGTCTCCTTGCCAGCAGCCACGTGGAGGACCGGGGAGGACCCTGGGGGGTCAGGGGGTGGGGTGACGAGCAGCAAGACCCCAGGGCGGCTCCTCCTGAGCCGCGGCATCAGCCGGCGAGGTTCATTTGAAGTGTCGCCGATTTTCTTACCATCCGATACGATCCTCTTCGAATGTTGGCACAGATGCTGTTCCCAGCTAACTAGAAATCATCCAGGACTGTTCACCATTGTGAGTTAGTCACGCCACACTTCTTTATTAAACCTGGAAAGCGAAGCGTTGACTCCTGTGAGAAGTAATTGAGATTTTGAAAGGTATTAACATAGAGTTCTTTGGAGAAATGGAAATCTTTCAATTTTTACTGGCATCTTAGACGCTGAGCCTCCCAATTGGATCCGTGCAGCCGACGGAGAGAAGGCATTGGAGTGCTCTCCTAATTGACAGGCTTGATTGACAGAGTGGTCCCTGAAGTCTCCTAATTGAGCAAAATGCTTGTCACCACACAAATCATTAAAGTACTATTTGAAAAATGTGCACGGTGACAAGTGCTAAGTTAGATGTTGTTCACAGCTACTCTCTGAACACAGATTTTCAAGCGAGATGAGCCCTTTTGTTTGTTGGTTGCTTCTTGGCGGCGGCGTAAGGCGGGCACCAGCTCCCGAGCCCTCGCAAGCGTGGGGGCCGGGGCTCGGGCTCGGGCGGGGGGCCTGTTCCGTGCAGGGTGGCGGAGTCCTCAGATGCCGCATCCTTGCCCTAAGCTGGTTTTCCTAGCAGCCAACTGTACGACTCCCGTTGCAGTGTTTGGGTCTGTTTTCCCTGAAACACGGCATGCTGCACGGGGTTGGTGGGTTTCTTTTTTTTTTTAAGCAGCAAATGGAAAGGAACAGTGCTTCTGCCTTGCTTCCTCACCCTCTGAGCAGAGGCACACATCCGTGTGGTGTCATGAGAGCTTTGGTCCACATTTGGATCTCCATTCATTCCAAACTGGTTGGTTGGAGCAGAACCGTTTCCCGATTCAGTGAGGGGCCTGCAGCCTGGTCTCTCTTTGGGTCCCCGCCTGGGCACATGTCTGGCGGGTCGGCTCCAGGACTGTGTCTTCCCCGACGGGAAATCTGTGGGTCGTAGGTTCAGAAGAACCGGCATTGTTCGCTAGGGTCGGGGGGCGGGGGGCGGGACCGGAAAGTTCTGTTGCTTTGGAACATGTCATTGTCCGGACGAGCGAGAGGCCCCGAGAGGAATTCTCCGGTCGTGAGGCCTTCCGTGAGTGGGGCTCCTGTCTCCCAGTCCGGCTCTTTCTGTCACCTGCCTGTACCCTGAGTGTGTTGGTGGGTGTGATGTGGTTCGCTCCTCTACATTTTGAGATAAGGAAACCAGGGCGGAAAGGAGAACAGTCTATGAGGGTAACAAGCTGATTCCTGTGGGGTTCCAGCCTGGGCTTCTCAGGTTCTAACCCCCGGGCTGTTTCCACCGTACCTAGAGACACAGTGTCACGGGTTAGACTCATGCGCACGTAGCCCGGCCCTACCATGTACCAAGCAGGATGCCAGCCGTCACGCTCTGTCCTTCTTCATGGACACAGCGACCTGTCCCCGTGGCTCATTCCCCACAGTCACTGTATCCTGGTGATGGCCAAGTCTGCTTTCCCATCAGAGCATGTATCCTGCTGTGCTGTGATGGTTTAGACGAAGCAACCGGGGGGAGCAGGGGCCGGTCTGTCTGCCGTATCGACAACGGCCGGCACAGCACAACGAGCATCAGGCAGATGAGCCCCAGTCCGCCAGCCTGCAGCCCACAGTCTCCCTCTCGTGGGGCTGGGGCAGCAGGTGCTTAGGGAAGGGCCCCTCATTCTAGATGTGGAAAGAGGCCCGTCTCCTCTTAGAAATAGCAGAGAAGTGGGTGCTGGGTCATGGTGCCCTCCCTCATGTCTCCCTAGTTTGGGATGGTCCTGGATTGTAGGGACTGCTCTGGAAGGAACACATGGGATGAGAAAGCAACAGGCTGCACGGGATGGGGAAGGGAGGTGGGGGAGAAGGGGAGGCTGGAGGAGGCCGGAGGACAAGGGGACTTGAGCATTGAGAGGTCAGAGCACATTGAGATAAAAGGATAAAATGGAGCTCCCAGGCGTGTCGATCTTGCATAAAGGGATGTCCCGAGCAGGAAGCTTTGCAGGGAGGTGTGCACCCGAGGATGGGACGTGCCTGCTTGGGGCCGACTCAGCCCTTTCCATTCAGCCTTAACAAACACTTTGTAACTTTGTATAGTGGCAAGACATTTTTGACAGTAATGGCCTCAGGGAGCAGGGCTGATGCTGCTGGGTTGGGGATTATGCTATAGCAGGATTTTGATTGAGGGAACAACCAATAGGCTTTTTAAGAGCTGGCTAAAGAAAAAGAGCCTGCTTCCCACCTGCAACCCCCAGCCCTTCACCAAACGGAGAAATCTGGAAGAGTCGGGAGCATTGGCCCTGTGTGTTCTGCACGGGCAGATGATGTGCGTAACCCTTGCCGGTGGGACAGCCTGCTCAGGGCTCCCGGAGGAAGACTGATACCTTCCGTGTCTTCACCTGGTGGGGAGTCCTACAGTTATCTAGTTTTTTGGAGATGGGTGTTTGGAGAGGTATAAACAGAACTGATCACTCAGGATGTGTAGAAATTTGGACTTCTTGGCCTGCAGCCTTAGACCCGGAACAGAAGAGAATGTTTACGAGCATCCTCCTCGGGAGGAGGGAGCTTAACTCTGTTTATCAGGAAGAAGCAGCGTCTTGGTTTAAAATAGAGTGATGATAGCTAGGAAATAGGGACATGAACAAGGAGTGGCAGCCCCAGATGAATAATGCAGGAGGCATATGAATGGGAGTTAGTGAGCATTCATTGATAAATGTAATGGCATATGGTAAATGACCACCCGAGAGACAGTACTCGGGAGAGACCCGATTGACTCTGTCATTGATTCCGGCCTAATGCATTTTTAATGGCCACCCAGATGCATTTCCTAATTGGTGATTACATCACTCTGTGTTCCAGAATAAAGCATGAATCATCCTCCAGTGATGAAGAGCACGCAGCTGCCAAGCCATCAAGTGCAAGCCACCTCCCTCTGTTGTCCAATGTCAGCTACAGGAAGACCCTCCGGCTCACTTCAGAGCAACTGGTGTGTGTCTCGTTCTTCCCTCGCCGTGTTCACAGGCACTGGCCAAGGCGTGGCCACCCAGACTCAGCGGCCTGGTGGTCTGGGTGCCCCTCCTGCTCTCCAGCCCAGCCTCAGCCCCTGGCCAGGCTGACCCCACAGTCTCGCTTCCCCTTTGTCTTCCCTGATGTATGTAGCCTTGGAGCTTTCAAGTGTTGGAGGAGGGCAGCCTGAGGAAGCTAATTTATCCTTAGTTGTAAATGACTGATAAACCTGAATCTTGCAGGCTCTTTCCATTTTTAGAGAGATGTTTGTCGACTCAAGGGCATCTCCTAAATTGGGGGAAATCAAGCACTTGCGATGGGGTTGAGAGAGTTTCAGGTGGCAGGGGGGCCATCATGGTCACAGTGTCCTCTTCTGTGAGGGTGTACCACCAGTTTTAGTCGGACCCTTCTTTTCCTGGACCTTGTTGCCCATGAACAGTCAGCGAGCAAGTATCCTCCCTCTTCTGCTTTTATCCGAAGAATGAGTGGGGGGCCAGGCTAAGCTGTGACGGTGTTCGTGGGAAAGGGTCAGGCCAGACCCCCAGTTAACACCACCAGCACGCCCCTCAGCCTGGCAGCCTCTGTGCAGTTGTGTGGCATGTGGCTCAGGCCAGCGATGCTGGGGGGACCTGGAGTTAGGCAGCCAGCTGGCACGCATGAGAGGGTCCCCACAATGAGACGCAAAACCGCCAAAAAGGTAATTTTGCTTTCTGGATCTGTTGTGAATTCCTCGGGTCTGCGGTTATTCAGGAAAACACGTTGCCACACTTGGCCTTGTCTCCCCCGTTGTGGCCCTTCGTATTTATTCACGGAGTAGTAAGTGCGTCCTGTTCTGAAGGTGGGATTCCTGTGGCAAGCCTCCCAGCCTGTCATTCAACCCTGCAGGAAGAGGGTGAGCTTGCCTTACAGGGGGGCCTATGGGGAGAGCTGGGTTCAGGTGGCCCAAATCCTGGAAAGAACCATCCTCATCTGTAGGCAGAATTATACAGCAGCCCAGGGCAGTGAGTTTACAAAATAGTCCTAATCTAGCGTCTCATGGATTGGAATCCACATAGCCCTCAGTCTGGGCCTTCCCCTCAAGTGGACACATGGCTCATGTTTTTCAGAAAAGCTTGAAGTTGAAGAATGGCCCCAACGACGTGGTGTTCAGCGTGACTACACAGTACCAAGGCACATGTCGCTGCGAAGGCACCATCTATCTGTGGAACTGGGACGACAAAGTCATCATCTCAGACATCGATGGGACCATCACCAGGTAGGTGCGGCCGCCTCAGGGGCCGTGGGCGAGTTCACCTTCCTGTAGGGCCCCGGGGCCTGGATCCGGCATCGCCGTTCTCTGTCTGTGGTGCCGTGGGGCTCGTGCAGTTCCGTTTCTGGTGCAGCCGTGGAATCTTCGATCCTTGCCCTAAACTAAGCCGTAGTTGGGTCGTGGTGCTTGTTTCCCAGATGTTGCTCATGTGGATGCTTCCCAGGAGTGTCTTTCCACATGCCCTTTCCGCTTTGATTTAGCAAGTCACGGACTTGATGCGTGATCAGTGAGAAGGTGCCCTTTTGTGTGTTAGTGTATCCCTCCGTGAGTGTTCTCTGATTACTCTAGGTTTGTGCTTTCTCTCCAGCAAGTAAGTCATGGGTCTTGTTGGCATATTTTATGGGGTGTTTCTGGTACAGTGAATTGGAATGGGCTTTCTCCCCCGTTGTCATGCCCCTTTTATTGTATTTTTCTCATTTCTATCTTTATTTAGATCAGATACTCTTGGCCACATTCTGCCCACCCTGGGCAAGGATTGGACCCACCAGGGCATCGCTAAGCTGTACCATAAAGTGAGCCAGTAAGTACCGGGCGCCTGCCCCCTCTCCCGTGTGCTGTTGGTGCGTGCATGACACTCTGCCCGCGGAACCTTGACCTTGAACGTGACTTGCAAGAGGAGTGCACCTTAGTCAAGCGGGGTCAGTGGGGGTGTGGAGGATTCTGAGGACACAGCGAGTGCTCATCCCGCCAACTCGCAAGTGTGAATTCAGTGCCAAGAGACAAGAAAGGAAGTGATAGGAGGCCCCCAAACTGTTGGCCGAACAAGGGTGGCGGCGTTGGGGGAGGGCTTGAGATTCAGTTCCTACTGAGGACCGTCTCCTGAGATGAGGTGAGGTCATGGTCCTCTGATAGCTGCCCAGCCACGTAGTTTAGGCCAAAGAGGTGCAGATTCCAGGCAGGTTTTAGCTGCGGTGCTCGTCTTGTCCGCCGGCCTGGGGGGTCCTCTGCTGTGTGGCCCCAGTGCAGGACTGTGCCTGCTCTGTACCCTCCCACCGGTATGCCCAGGGGGGAGGGTAGATCTTAAACTGCTTCCTGTGTCGGGCACGTGTTACTTCGCTTACTAGCTTTTCAAAATTACTGTAAGAATTAATATCATTAGTTCCCTCAGAAGTGGTGGGTCCGCATTCCCATAGCTGCTGACAGGAGGCAGGGCACCTTCAGCCCTGCTCTGTCTCCGGGGTCAGGGGCCATCGGGGTCTCTCCCTCCCCACACTGGCTCGTCACTTTCTCCATCTTTCTGTGGACTAGAGCCTCCTCATCCGCGAAAACTCTCCCCCCAACGCTTTCTGTTCTGCAGCCACTTGGGCGGGAAGGGGCCTCAGGCCAGTGCAGGCCAGCCCCTCCTTTCCCTGGCTGAGGAAGGTGAGGAATTACGTAGTGGAGGTCAGGCCGGAAAACCGGGCCCATGCTTCCCAAGCTGATGTGCCTCACCTCTGGCCCACGTAGGTGACAGGGGGGTGGGGGCTGGGCACCCATGCTCTGTGAGCACCGATGAACGAAGCGCACTTTCCTGCCCCTCGTTCATTCACTTACCCAGCATTTATTGAGTGCCTGTTGTGTGATCAGCCCAGTGACAGGTGCTTGGGATGTCACGAAGTGGACACGGCGTCTGGCCGCCTGGGCCTCACGCTGCCGTGGGGGCGGGGTGGCTGGGACGGGGCCTCGTACCCTGGTGGGATTGAGAGCTCTGATCTCTTAGATGCCCCGCTCATTGGCTTGACCTCACTTTTCCAGATTTCCTCTTCAAAAAATTACAAAAGTAATACATGCTTCTTTAAAAAAAAATGAAGAGAAATAAGAAAAATGAGAGAAATTTGAGAGTGGGAAAGTTGTGTCTTCTTCCTCTCGGCCCTACCGCCAGGTTAACCCACTCCCCGATGTGGAGCCACCGTGAACAGTTTGGTTCTGTCTCGGTGTCCTTAAAATCCATTTCCGCTCTCCCCACGCCCACCCCCGACACGCACGCCTCCAGGATTTAGTAATACGTCTTTCTGTTTCATTACATGTAAGATTTACCTCATTCTCCAGTGCGGCACACATTGTATAATGTGGATAAACCGTGCTGTATCTAACTAGTCCTCTGTTGGTGCACGGAGGACGGAGTTTCCAGTTTCTTCACTAGGTCCAAGACTGATGTCCTAAGCACTCACATAGAATGTTTGTTATGTATGATGAGCCTATAAATAAATAAAGAAGGCGCACGCACGTAGGGAGGGACTGCTGTAAAGTGGATTCCCAGAAGTAGAATTGCCGGTCAGAGGATGAGCGCATTTGAAGATCTGATCAATAGAGCCAGATTGCCCTCTGCAAAGGTACACCCCGTCTGCAGTCTTGTGGACAGTGTGTGTGCCGGTCCCTTTCCCCACAGCCTCACCGTGGCTGACCTCTCTCTCGTTGAGAAGGATTAATCCACTGAGGAGCTGCCTGGACTTGCACGACACTGAAAATTGCATCTATTTTTAGTTGGAAGAAGCCCTCATGAGTCAGGATACCGAGAAGCTCACAGCCTGAATCATTTTGGGCTTTGGAACATAAATCTACTCCTTTTCTTACTGTACATTAAAAAAAGAAAAAGGGCACAGTTGCATTTTTTTTTTTTCCCCCAGAAAAGATATCTCTTTGGAAAGTAGCTTACCAGAGAGCTTACCAGAGAGCACCTGAGCATTCTTGACTTTGATCAGTGGGCATACGGGGAGTGAGGTCTGTCGATGAGGGTCGGTGATGAGTGCAGAATACTTCCTGTATTTTCAGTTTGGTTGAGAGGAAGGAGCTTGACATTTATTCATTCACTGAGTTTAGTGTGTGTCCTCAGTGCAGCCAGACAGGCCAGTGACGGTCAGAGTTTCCGGAGCAATCGGTGCAAACACGGTTTGGCCGTGGCCTTCAGGGGCCTGCGTTGAGTGCCTCCGGGCCGAGGTGCAGGCTCCTTTCTCTGCCTTCTGCTAGGTAGGCCCTTATTTCCCAACTTTCTCCCCAGACCTTCTTGCTGTAATCCAGGTCCACGATTCGTTTTCCCATCTTCCTACCTACACTCCAACGATGGCTTCTGCCCGCCATGCCTGTACCTCTGATTTTTGCCTCAGCATTTTTCACCTTGTGATGCCCAGCATGGATGCCATAGTCCTCACCATGCCTTACCAGGCCGGAGTTGGCAAGCCCGGGCAGCTCTTACTTACCTTCTGACTGAGCTCTTTGTGGACGCCCAGGACTCGGCCTGGCTTGTTGGGAGTGCTAGTGCCGGTGGGCTCGCTGTGACGCTCCCATGGCTGACTGTCGGTTCGCGTGAACCCCCATCCTGGCAGCGCCCCACATGCTTCCTCCTCCAGGGCCCTGGGCGGCCGCCACGCGACAGGGGCAGGGACTCAGGACTGGTCACGGTGCGGACTCCCTCTTCTCATGAGTCCAGGTCATTCTTCTCATGTCCTCCTGTGATTGCCCACAGAGCTTTAGCATGCTGGTGTACTAACGTGATGCTGTTAACTTCAGGATTTGGGGACTGATCACTCTGTCTTCGCCCTGCTTTTTCTGAACTTAGGCTGCACTTAAATTTTAGGCACTGCAGTATTTAATGGAAAAACCAGTCTTGCAGATAGCCTCTTGCCTGAAAACAACAGAGAATGAGGGCAATTTTATTTATTTTTTTGCCAAATGTAATTACTTATTTGAATACAGTCAGCTGTGAGAAATTTTCTGTAGGGCTGATTGTCACCTTGTTCATCGAGAGGGTAGAAAATAGCTTGCTTGGTTATTGATTAAAAAGAAGGGGCACCTGGGTGGCTCAGTCAGTTAGGCGTCAGACTCTTGGTTTCAGCTCAGGTCATGATCTCAGGGTTGTGAGATCAAGCCCCGAGTTGGGCTCCGTGCTGAGCGTGGAGCCTGCTTGAGATTCTCTCTCTCCCCCGCCCCTCCCCACGTCCTCACCTGCACTCTCTTAAAAAAAAAAAAAAAACCAACTGTAACAAATACCTGTGGAAGACATGAAACCCTCCCTCACGTTCAAATATGTTCAATAAGTACAAGGAAAGTTAAGGACTATTTCCTAAAATATCTAGATCATTGAGCCAGTGGGTCTTTTGGGGGCTAAATCTGGACAATAATTGCTCTGATTTTGCACCTTACTTGATGCATATTTTTATATTGGTGTAACTAAATATCGACGTGGGTGCGACAACGTAGCGACAACGAATGCTGTGGCCTGAAGAGGGCACCGTGTGAAGCCAGGATGCTGAGAGCGGAAATCCTAATTAGCAGACTCAGTAGGATCTCTTCTCTCCTGCCCATAGCGCTTGTGCTCCCCTCCACTTGAGGTCTTCTGAGGTGACTGGGGGGCCGGGGGCCCTGGGTTCTCAAGGTGACAGCCCTTAGCTCACCCTGGATGTGCAGACCTCGTCCCCACTCCCAGTTTTGGTTTCCTCATCTCTAAGATGGGAAAATTAGGCCTTGTGATCCCCGAGGTCCCTGCCAGGCCAGAAGCTTGGTGCCGCGGGTCGCAGGCTTGTGGTCCCCAGGGTGTGTGCTGTCTCAGGGTGAACTTTTCGAAGCTGGGCCTCCGGGGGAACCCCAGGACTGAGCAGACTCTGACTGCAAACCAAGCCAGGCCTCCGGGGGAACCCCAGGACTGAGCAGACTCTGACTGCAAACCAAGCCAGGCCTCCGGGGGAACCCCAGGACTGAGCAGACTCTGACTGCAAACCAAGCCAGGCCTCCGGGGGAACCCCAGGACTGAGCAGACTCTGACTGCAAACCAAGCCAGGCCTCCGGGGGAACCCCAGGACTGAGCAGACTCTGACTGCAAACCAAGCCAGGCCTCCGGGGGAACCCCAGGACTGAGCAGACTCTGACTGCAAACCAAGCCAGGCCTCCGGGGGAACCCCAGGACTGAGCAGACTCTGACTGCAAACCTGCGCACCAGGGGCTGTTGTGGGTGCTGTATGGGCTGCAGGCCCCCCTCTCCCAGGGAGCTCTGGGTCCCGTAGAAGCAGATGGCACCCCTGTAATGAGGCAGTGAGGGGGTCACGCAGTGAGATGCAGACTTCTCGTATGGATGTGAGGGAGAAATTAATTCTGATCGGAGGGACGAGGACTCCGTGATGGTTTCGCGCTCGAGCTGAGCCTTGTTGGGCAGCAGAGTTTCGAGAGAAGCACGCTTGTCACGGGAAGTGGGGCTGAGAGCTGAGCCTGTGCCTGGTGAACATGAAAGGGAGGCTCCGGGCAGGGGGCCTAGGAGGCCGGTCTGAGCACAGGTCTGAGTTTGGCATAGAGCCTTCCATCCTTAAGGGAGCGGGTGATTTTCCTTCCTCCAGGCCTGAAAATGGGGCTACAGAGGTCCTTTCTTCTACAACAGTGCTCCCGACTGAGGGCGATTTTGGCCTCCAGAGACCCATGGCAGTGTCCGGAGACGTTTCTGGTTGTCCTCCTGGGGCGTGTCATGGACACCTAGCAGGTAGAGGCCAGGACTGCTGCTAGATGTCTCACAGTGTGGCATGGTCGGGGCTTCTGCCCTGCCCCCCAACAATTATTTATCCAGTCCAAGATGTCAGGAGTGGGGAGACTTCAGCCTAGAAGCTTATCTTGGCAAATAGCCCCAAAGATAATCTTTCCAAGCTACTTTAATACCGGCCTGGGCCAAGTGTTTTAAGAGAGAGGGACAGAGGCTGGGACAGATGGAGAAACCGTTAGTTCGAAGCCTGGACGTGGAATGTTCTTTCTGGCTCTGGTATTTCCCAAGCCCTGTTGAAGGTGCTGAGAAGGTGCTACATCAGATATGATGTAGTCCACGTTTGCTGTCGAGGGTAGGTTTCCCCATGTGTTCTTCTGTTCCCGAAGGGCAGGGCTGGGCGGGCCGCATGCGTATCCCAAGGCCAGCCTGGGCCCAGGGTGGGAGCGCCTGCTGGGGGTGCATTGACAGGAGGAGCGCATCCTGCCCTTCTGAGTGTGGCATCTTACCCCAAGCGGCTCGCCTGAGAGTGAGCTTTGGTGACTTGGTGCCGTTGAGCATTTGATGGCATCACAGACGGCTTTCGTGGGGGTGAAGACTGTGCCACCTACAAGCATTAACATCCACCCCCCCGACCCCCCACCCCACCGGACGTCTTCAAGCTGATTTTCCAGCCAAGTTTAGTAACGGCCTTTGAAGCAGAATACTTGCATGGTGAGAACAAGGCAGTGGCCTGATCAGACCATGAAATGTATTTGAAAATCAAGTTTTGAATAAAATTAGCATCTCAAGCCCCTGCAGGTGGCAGCTTTTAGGAACTTTGATGTGAAGAGCTATATACAGAGTGGGGTTTTTTTTTTTTTTTTTGAAGATTGCATTAATTAGACAGCTAAAATACAAAGATGTTTAATTAAAAAGGTTGCTTGATTTTCAGATGCATCCCTGTATTCCAAACAAGCTGGTATTTCTGGATTCTCTTCGTCTTAAAACTTTCCTGTTTCCTGGTTTTAAAGGATGTATTTATTAAGCAAGTGTAGAGACGAGTACCTTGGTGGAACAATAAGCCGGGTTGGAAGTGGGTAGTTTGTATTCGCTCATGTAGCAAATATTTACTAAGTGTCTGTGACTTGCTGAGCACTGTTTTTGGCACTGGGGTTACGCAAGGAATGAGACAAAGTCCCTGCCCTCGGGGGGCTTATGGATTCATGAGAGATACTGTCAAACAAGGAACTATCCTCTAATATTAGTGACGAGTGCCATTAGGAAAAATAAAGCAGAGCAGAGATTCAGTGTCTGGAGTGAGGGTAAGCGAAGGGTGTGTTTTATTAAATAGAGGGGCGAGGGAAGGGTCCTCTGGGGAGGTGATGTGAGGGGAAGGAGGGAGCGAGCCTGAGGTGTGGGGAACAGTGTTCCAGGCGGGAGGAACAACACGTGCAGGTGCCCAGCGCAGGAATGAGCATGGTGCCTCACAGGACTGGCAGGGGCACCTTCTGGTAAGCGGGAGTGACGGAGCAGATCGGATTGGAGAGAGGGGTGGGGACCAGGTCTCGCCAGCCCTGTAGGTCATGGCAAAAAGTTTGGATTATATCTGGGGGACATAACCAGATTCTGAAGGGTTTTGAGCATGATGGGAGTGGGTTTTGAGTTTTCCTTCTGTGTGCACACGTGCTGTGGGGGGCCGGGAGCTGATTTAGGCTGCTGTGGGAGGAGAGTAGGACAGGAGGCCCTGTCCCAGAGGTGTGGACGAGGACTGTGGCGGCGACAGGGGACTTGGAGGGTGGTTTGGGGTCCTTGTTGGGGTGGAATGAGGGGACCTGCTGATGTGTGGGGGGCTGGGGGGGGTGGTTGTGAGGAGAAGTAGAAACCCAGGTGGTCCTGAGGTTTGGCCTCACACCTGGGCCAGCGAGAGAGTGCCTGCCGCGTGCTGAGTGGGGAGGTCGCGGCAGGAGCACCTGCGCATGTTTGGCTGTGGGCACGTCACATGGGGGGTACTGTCCTGTACCCCGTGAGTAATGGGGGGTTTGCAGCTGCATGTGTTGGCCTGGAGATTAAGAGAGGGGCCTGGACTGGAAGTATAAATTCAGGAGACAGCCATGTATAGATGGTGTTTAAAAATGTTAAGTGTGTTTTATTTAGTCCAATATAGGGAGACTATTACCATCTAAACATGTAATCAATATAGAAATTCTTAATGGGATAGATCTTCTATTCTGTTTTTATAGGAGGCCTCTGAAACATGGTATGTATTTTATATTAACAGGACATCTCATTTTGGACACTAAGCTTTCAGTGGTTAAAAAAAGTGAAGTCCTAATAAAGTAGTAAAGTTGTGTTTAACAGAAGAATAATTCTGTGATCTGTTTTTCACTCCCAACACTGAGGACACCCAACGCATGGGGCTGTCACACGGAGCAATTCCAAAATTCTCTGTAGAGACCACCTGGGTGTCCCAACAATTCAATCCAGGTCTGACCCCAACTACCCGGAGGTAGGATAGACCCTACAGGTTAGGGGCTCAGGCCCACAAGACAGCTCCCATTTTAGACACCAGCTGTAAGTAGGAGGTCCCTGGCTTACCCCCACTTTTGCCCTCCTTGGCTTCAAATCAGGGGTCCCCACAACCCCTCGTCAGGTTTAATAATTTGCTATAATGACTCACAGAACTTAGGCAAACACGGTTTATTCTAAAGGCTACAAATGAACAGCCAGATGAAGAGGTACATGAGGTGAGGTCTGGAAGGGTCTCCCCTCCATGGGGTTGGGGTGTGTCTTAGCACATGGATGCATTCCCCTACCTCTCTGAACCCTGAACCCCGTTATTTAGGGTTTTTGTGGAGGTTCATTATGTAGGCGTGATTGATCAAATCACTGGCCATTGGTGATTGAGTTCAACTTCCAGCCCCTCTCCCTTTCCCAGGATTTGTGTGTGTGTGTGTGTGTGTGTGCTGGGGCAGAAAGTACCAACACTCTGATTGCATGGTTGGTTCCTATGGCAACCAGCCCTGCCCTCCAAGGCCCACCTCAGTAGCATAAACTCAGGTTGGAGGGAGGGGCTTTTTTCGAATAATATATGGCTTGTTACAAGGGCTTAGAAGCTCTATGCTGGGATCCGAGATGAAGAGCACATACATCTGTATTATATCACAACATCACCAATATTGTATACTGCTTTGGCTTGGATGTGGCATTTAGAGCCTTCAGGGAGTGGGTGTGATCCCCTAGGGAGCTAGGTGCTGAGGAGGACAGTGCCCCCGGGACCCCAGGATTGTGCACGTGGAGCCTGGTTGGAGACAGAGCCAGGGGACCTGTGTGGGAAGCCGAGGGACGGAGGTGTTCCAGAGGAAGGGGTGCTGCCAGGCAGTCTGTCCATATGAGAACTGTGGCATCGCAGGGACCTACAGGGCCAGCGAGGCAGGGGAACGAGTCTGCTTGGAGTGGGTTGACGGGGTGAGATGTGCAGTCAGTGCAGAGACACAGCCCTTTGAAGGAGTTTTGCTGCCAAGGGAACGGGGGGATGGGATTTGGTCCGGAGAGAGGGAAATCCTTCGGTGGGTACAGGCAGGTCGGCCAGTTGGCACAGAGCCTCAGTTTCCCTAGCAGTGAAGAGGAGGGAAAATACCTACCGGAACAAAATTCTCGAAAGGATTAAAGCAAGTGAGGGAAGCGAAAGTGCTTAGTAAGGGACCGTGAAATGCATTCAGGCTCTGTTCTCAATGCAAAAGAATATTTCTAGAATGTGGCCTTCAGCTGGGGAGGGAAGCTTGCAGCAGTGTCATTCCGTGTGAAACATTCGGGTTAGGGTTTGTGAACGCAGAACCGTTCTGTGGTGTGATGCTATGACACGCGAATGCTTTGTCTCTTTTTCAGAAATGGCTATAAATTTCTCTACTGTTCTGCGCGGGCCATCGGGATGGCCGACATGACGAGGGGCTACCTGCACTGGGTCAACGAGAGGGGCACGGTGCTGCCTCAGGGGCCCCTGCTCCTGAGCCCAAGCAGTCTCTTTTCGGCCTTGCACAGGTATGGCGCTCGGCTCAGCCACCTCCCGCCCCAGAGCTGCGGGCCCGTCCAGGTCCCCTCGCCTCCTCCCCGGGAAGTGTTGGCGAGAAGAGCCTCTCAACTGCTCTGCTGCAACCCGTATCCCTGCCCCACAGTGGGCATCAGGAAGGTCACCCTAAAATGCAGGTCTGGCTCTGTCCCCCTGGCCTCACCCTTCATTAGCTCATCACGGCTCTCGGGATCAAGTCCAGATTCATTCGCTCGGCTCACGTGACTCTTCCTGACTTCCCCCTGCCCTCCTTTGCAGTTCTTAAAACTCAGTCACGCTGAACTGCCCCCGTTTTTCCAGAACAGTGTTTCTACTACAAGCCTGTGCACCTGCTGTCCTCCCTTAGAGGGCGGCTGCCCCGCCGGCGTGGCCGGGCTGAGTCCTAGCGACTCTGAGAATCAACTTGCATTCCGTCTAATCGGGGACCTGGGCTGGGTTAAGTGGCCCCTCTACCTGCCACCACCACCTACCTGGCCCTTGGCTCCCAGAGGAGTTGTCCTTTCTGGGAGTTGTGCTCACACATTTTGTTGTTGTTGTTGTTGTTGTTGTTTTTAAAGATTTTATTTATTTATTTGAGAGAGAGTGAGAGAGCAGGAGTGGAGGGGAGGGGCAGAGGGAGAGGGAGAAGCAGGCTCCCCGCTGAGCAGGGAGCCCAATGTGGGGCTCGATCCCAGGACCCTGAGATCATGACCTGAGCTGAAGGCAGACGCTTAACTGGCTGAGCCCCCCGGCGCCCCCCCGTGGTTTGGTTTACTGGTCCTCTGATGATCACTAGCCAATGTCTGATTACCCCCCTCTCTTCACCATCACAGCCTCATTCAGAGAAGTTGAGCCAAACTAAGTCTGGCCCCCCTGGGTGGGAGAGGAGAAGACAGGGCTTCCCTGTACCCTGAGGCCCAGGGCAGCTTCCCAGGCTCCTCTCAAGGCATCATCTATTGTGGTCATAACAGGATGTTGGTTCTGCCAAAGGCTGGTTCTAAGTATCAGATAGTTCTGTCTTCAAGACCCAGCGAGAGGCTCTGCCTCAATTTGAGGACCAGCTTACCTGCTTCCTGCTGCTCACCATGCAGACAACAGAAAAATCCAGATGGACCCCAAGCACCATGTTGGTTCCTCTTAGGTGTTTTTCCTCAGCTCTGCAGATACCTTTTCCATTGCAGCTTTGTTTTGTGTAATTTGTAATTTTTTTCTTGTGGTAAAAGATCTCACACTGAAACTTGCGCATTCTGGGGAGGAAATTCAGGCAAACCTCTGGATGCCATAGTGTATTTTAAATCCCTAGAGCTGTCCTGACAGCGTAGGCCTCCGCAGAATCCGGATGGTAATGAAATGGGGTCCCTGATACATATCGACCGTTTGTAGCAAGCGACTCACTGTCACGTGTTAAGTACTGCGGATTTGCAAGGTGAGGCAAACGTTGACATTATTACTTTAATACCCGACCACTAAATACACATTTAAGGTGATCTTTTTCACTTTTTTCTTATTTAAATACCACTGTCCAAGATCGATCAAAAGTGATTGATCTTAGACAGTGAGGAATCACTAAACCAAACAAGGACTCCTCCAAGTGTGTGTTCCCTCTCGGAGCTGGAGGGGCTCCTGACAGATATGGCCAACAGCCTGGTCCTTCCAGCACCACATTCTAGCCCGAGCCGTTCTCTGTGTCAGCCGTCCTGCAGAGCTTCTAGAATTGATGGGCATGTCTGCCATGAGCCAGAATGACCTTCCCTAGCAAGATGCTTTCATTGGGTTCACTTCTGATGATACTGCCTGGGTCTCAACTGGAATGAAGGCAGATCCACATGGTGGGCGGAACCCAGTCGGCAGGTGGGGACGGGGAGCCCCAGGCTCTGCTTGGCGACTGGCTGGTGGTGTGACCAGCCGGTGCCTCCCTGTCCTGAGTCTGTGTCCTCAGCTGCTGAATGCGATCTCAGGTGTCACCTTTCAGCCCTGAAATGCTATGATTCTAAGAAACATGTCATGTCAGAGAAGTTGAGGGCATCTGTTTCCCACACCTCATCTTTTGGTCCAGGAGCTTCTCCTTTTAAAGTGGAAATTGGCTTTGAGTTTTCGTTACCTGCCCTCTTGTGTTTCAGCGGCAGGGCAATTCAGATCGTTTTCACAAAGCCTCTGTGAGCACGGCACACTTTGCTGATACGTGTGGCTCAGTCTCATGGCGGGGGGTGGGGAGGCTCACTGACAACAGGCAACTCGCCTTTGCTAAGCCCCGAGACTGGGTTACTGGGCAGATGTGAAATTCCGGAGTTTGGCAACAACAGAGCCTCCAGCTCTGAGAAGGAAGAAGCTGTTTCACAAGTAACCACGTTTTTCCCTTTGGCATTTTCTGAGGTGCTCTGAGACTTGGATAAATGACATTTTGTTGTTCGCTGGAGTAAAATTACCTCAAGGGTGAGTTAGGACCAGGGATTATTTGCACATTCAGATCACCGAAGACCTAGGCTGTGCCAAGGAGCAATCTGGATGCTCACCTCAGTACTTGTCAGCAGTCCTCACTGCTTCCTCCCGGAGTACCTTACTGCCCACAAGGAGCCTTGCACGGGGCCACGGGGCCACGGGTTGTCTCTTACTGGCCACTGCGCTCTATACTCACGCAGACATCCTCCTCCCCGCCTGCCACGCACTCACACTTGTGCCTGGGGCGTGTGCTTGTGTGTGTGTGTGTGTGAGATAGAAATTGAGATTGGAGCAGGAAGCTGAATTTGGATGGTTTCCCCTGAGTGGATTGAAGTTTGAGACTCAATCACAGTCAGCCATAGGGTCCTGAGATACAGAGTGTAAAACCCTTTCAGGGTTACATTTAGGGAAGGCCCCGGAGTCCACGGAAGTCCCTGCAGAGCCAGGACCAGCCCTGGGGTCTTGTGATACTCAGGTTGATAGTCTTCCACCACCACCACCACCATCATCATCATCTAAATTGCATTTTGAGTAGGTACAGAAGAATATTTCTAAAATACATGCAAGGTATAAATGATAATCAAATAGTGAACAGCAGTGTATTCACCATCCAGCTAAAGCAGAAGGTCAGACCGTTCCCTTTGAAGTCCTAGACCCTCCCATCCCTCCCCACCGAGCAGTGACAGTGGCCACTCTCCCTGAATCTTGTGTTAATCACTCCCTGCTTTTTGGAACAGTTCTCTTGCGTATATTTGTGATCCTGACCAATATGCTTAATTGTGCGCATGTGTGGCCTTCACGTAAACATATCATATGTTCTTCTGGAGCTTGCTTTTCTCGCTCAACATTATGTTCCCATGACTGTTGAGTAGAGTTGTGACTCATTGCTTTTACTTCTGTGTGGTATCCTGTTGTAGGACGACCACAGTTTATCCATCCTACTGCTGATGGACGCTTGGGTCATTTCCAGGATTTTACCGTTAAAAGCAGTTTCTTGTGTGTCTGCACTGGGGGACAGGGGCACTAGGTACTCCAAGGTACACACTTAGGATTGGAATTGCTGGCCATAGAGGATGCACATATTCGGCATCATTAGGTCATTCCGAACTGCTTTCCAAAGTAGTTGAACCAATTTATTCACTGACAGTGGGGTGTAAGCACTCCCCTTGTTCTGCTTTCTTGCCAACACGTTGTCAGCCATTTACATTTTTGCTAGTCCGGTGGGTGTGAAATGTCTCTCTTCGTACCTTTATGGGCCATTTGGGCTTCATCTTCTGTGAAGTGCCTGCTCAAGTGTTTTCCCAGTTTTCTTTTTGATATGTGTGTGATGGATTCTATATACGTAGCCTTTCTTAAGAGCGTTGCAAAGAGCCTTCTCCAGTTTATGGCTTGTGATGAACATAAATTCTTCTTTTCATGTGCTTGAACATATCATTTCCCCTGTAGTTTGTGCTATTTGTGTATTAAAAACGGCTTCGCTGGCTGTGGGCAGGAAGAGAGGCTCCTATTATTTTATCCAAAGGTGTTGCCTTTCATGTTTGAGCGTGTAATCCACCAGGAATTGATTGTTGCATATTAAGTGCAGGAGAGGCCCATTTTCTCTCTTTTTTTGGTTTCCCTTCTAGGGATGTTCAGTTGTCCCACCATCATTTGCTGAAATGATGGCCCATTTCCTCTTGCTTTGAGCTGTCATTGTGCTCATAAATCAAGTGTCCATAAATGTGTGATTTGGTTTCTGGCCTTTGCTCTTCTTGTGTAATTATGACGATCAAGTTTTATAAAGACATACAGACAAAATCCTGTCGAGAGGTTGATTGAAATTACAATGAATCTGTACATCAGTTTAGGGACAGTCAGTATCTCCTTGTAATACTGAGTCTTCCAATTCACCTATATGGTGTATTTTTTCATTTAGGTCTTCCCTAATGTATTTCAATAAAGCTTATAATTTTAACCATAAAAGCCTGGCATATCTTCTATTAGGTTTATTCCTAGACATTTTAAATTTTAAATTTCTATTTACGGAATTACATTTTTACCTGTTTGTTTCTTCTGATGCATGAAAGTGCAGTTGATTTTTGTTCATTAATTTTTTTTTGTACACTGATTTTATAGCCAGCAATCTTATTGATCTCTTATTAATGGTGATTATTCATCTGTAGATTCTCTTTTTTTAATGTATTTTTTTTTTTTTGTGTGTGAATAGCGACAGTTCTCTTTCCTTCCTTTCCAATCCTCGTAACTATGTCTTCCTTCCGTCACCGTGCCAGGGAGGACCCGCCACACAGTGTTGGGTTGAATTGGTGGTAACAGCTACCTGTTGTTTCACTGTTAACTGGGTGTTCGCTGTGGGTTTAGAGTATGCCCTGCTATTCCGGGTTTAAGATTTTTCATCTTGATGAGATGTTGAATTGTACCAAACACCCTGTCTGTGTCTATTAATATGGTATGTTTCCTCCTCCTTCAATCTGTTAATGGGTTAGACTACATTCATTGGTTTAAAGTATTGAATTACTCTTGCATTCCTGGGATAATACTTCTGTGCTTTGCTGCTGCAGTCAGTTTGCATATGTATATTTATTTAGGATGTTTGCACTGCCATTCATGAATGAGACTGGCCCACACTTTGCTCATGCTTTTCTTCTTTCAGTTTTGTTTTTGAGGCTACGTTAGCCTCATAAAACGAGTTTGGAGATGTTCTCTCTTCTCCTACGTCTGGAATTCTTTGTTGCTTGGGTGACTGGTGGAGGTCTTTAGTAAAATTACTTGTCTTTAGCATTTTCTTTGTGGGAAGACTTGAAAGTATGGATTTACCCTCTGTGAATTTAGAAATAGTTTGATGATAATGAAGCTTCTTCTCTCAAGCTGATCCATTATTTATTTATTTGTTTTAACAGAGAAGTGATTGAGAAGAAGCCGGAGAAGTTTAAAGTCCAGTGTTTGACAGACATCAAAAACCTGTTTTTTCCAAACACAGAGCCCTTTTATGCTGCTTTTGGAAACCGACCGGCTGTAAGTAGTAGATTGGGTATATAAAAGAGCTCTTGAAATTACCGCCTTTTCTGACAGCAGTCATCTGAAAGGTGGGTCTCGACTCCATGGGGAGCCTGATTCCCATCTTGCTAGAAATAGCTGTAAGGAGATTTTCCATTATCTCATGGCCTCTAGTTTTCTTTGAAGATTGGCTGGTGGGTTTCAGTCTAAAGCTTGAAATGTGGGACTAGAAACTTCAAATTCCAAATCACTTGCCAGTTTAGTAGAACAAGAACGAAAGGATTAGACCCTTTCTACCAGAAGGGAACCGCAAAGCCAGGCCTTAGCACCATGGTGAAATTTGGCATCGCAAGTTTTCAGAGCATTGTTGCATATGGTAAAAGAAGTGCTTTGAGATTTTATGTGTACTACCCAAATTTGTGGGAGAGTTTAGCATTCTGGATAATATAGTTGGGTACTAACTTCCCAGTAAGAAAATTCCCCTTTTGAAACTCATGCCTGAAAAAGTGGGTCAGAGAATAGCCTTAAGGGGTGTAAGAATTGCAGGGGGATGTGGTAGGTTGTTTACTCATTAGCTCAGCTCTTGAACGGATGAACGCACGGAGGCCCTGAGGGGGGAACTGATTTAATAATTTCACATCCAGACATACTTTTTTCTCTGCACTACTTGGAAGTAGAGTTCTGGTTAATGAAAATTTTATAATATTGCATCAAATCTGAAATATCCCGTATTTGTGTTTATAATGCGCTTTTTTCCCCTAATTTATACTTTCCCAAATATAGGATGTGTATTCATATAAGCAAGTAGGAGTGTCTTTGAACAGAATATTTACTGTCAATCCCAAAGGAGAGCTTGTACAGGAACATGCAAAGACCAACATCTCCTCGTGAGTACTGTGCACGTTCTGTGGGATTGCTGTGTCCTTACGTTGTTAGAGTCTCGATCTTGGAAAGATGTTTTACAGTTTACACTCTGCCTTTTTGTTGCCTATATTTTCATTTTTAATTCCTACAAAGAGAATATAGTTTAACTCCTGGTAGTTTGTCCAAAACTTAATTTTTGGACAATCTGCATTAAATCAGGCCCCCTCTGAGTCAACAATTTAAACCAGTGGTTAGGTTCTGCTACTGAGTGGAATTGAATGAATTTCAAAACTAGTGGTTTCGATTTGCCAAGTGAGGACTGAAAGCCTAGTGTGCAAATTGGAAATGTAATCGAATTGAAATATCATGTGAAGCTGTATTTATGGACGAGAAACTCTGTGCCTTCACACACTGACCTGCCACACCGCTCTCACCAGAAATCGTCAGAATTCCTCTCATACTTGTGGTTGGAGCCGAGGCTCCCTGGGCAGTGGGCTGAATTGGGCTCCTGTCTGAAATGAGGCAGCCTGGCCGGCTGTAGAATCTCCCTTGACTTGGGTGTGCTTCGCTCTGGGTTCCGAACTTGTGAGAGTGGAGAGCATTTTCTCAGGCCTTGTGTCGGTGAGTGTTGCCCACCGGGCGTTTTAGGTAGGTGAGAGATTTAGGTTCCTCCTAGAGCCCATTTTCACTTCCAAGATGATCCTTATGCCCGTTCAAGCTTACTTTAACCTAAATGAGGGCGGTTGTAGGCTGGAGGGGGCCCAGGGGCCCGCCCCACACGCCTCCTCCCCCCAGTCATGCCTGTTCCTAAGCAGTTCTCAAGATATGCAGGGAGAGAGAGGAGGATGGAGCCAAGAGCCTCCTCCATCCTTCAGAACAGGAGGCAGTGCTGGGCCCCCTCCGGGCTGGCGGAACAACAGCAGGGACGGATTCCTTCCTTACCCCGGCCCCAATGGCATCGGGGGCCTGCTCTCCCGCATTCCCCAGCGCAGCACCCTCCCATGTGAAAGGGTTTCCTGGTCGGGGGAAGGTCGAAGAGAACTCTCTTCAGGGTCAGAAAGCACCTGAACTGATGAGACACTGCCCAGAAATGGCAGCAACCTGGTGGCAGGTCTGTCACAAGGGATGTGGCAGGAGGGGTCCCAGCCCCCGTGAGGGTTTACCCCGGAGCCCTGTGGGGTTATCTCATTCCTGAGACTCTGGGGTTCAGGTGCCTCGGCTCGGGGTGGATCTCTGTGTGGGAGGAACTTGGCGCCTCGTCATCTCATGCTGGGCCAGGACACGAGGCCCTTCCTGGGGGGGGAGTGCCCCTCCGTCCCCCGGAGAGCACACGCTCTCTCTGGCACCAAACTTGGGATGGTCAATTCGGATCCTGGGACACTGTGTCTGAGAAATCAGATGGATAGGGGGCCCGGGCGGACGGGGAGTGTCAGCGCTTGCTACCGTGGTTTGTGACTGTCTGCATGGGAGCTCTGTTTGCTCCCAAGGGCCTGTGTGCGAGAGGGGCGCAGATGGGGCCTGGCCAGCACCCAGAGCACTCAGCAGTTTGGATCTGGTGCCTGCCGCACACCCTGATGACGCGCCATGAACTGTTCCCCATGGGGAGGGGCCGCGTCCCACAGCCACAGAGCTCAAACAAATAGGTCTTCAGGCCAGGAGGTACTTTAAAAATTTGTTTTAATCCCCAGGAAAGACGTAATTCTTGCTTGTTAGGGGAGATTTTCCCCATTCTGTGCAAGCACGATGTTCCTCATAAGCCCTTTGAGGGTCTTTTATTAAATACACACTCTCATCCTTAGTTAATAAGGTATTTGATGCCTCAGAACATGCTAATTCCTGGAGTTTGTTTCGAAAGCCCTTTTTGGTTTTTAGCAAATTGGAACTGGAGAGGGACCCCGTGGCTGTCAGGGAAGACTCTGGGGACATGTGGAGAGGCCTGGGCTTGTCAAAATTTCTCGTTGGAGGCGCCCAAAGGTCTGAAAATGCATGTTCAGTACAGCAACTTTCTTTTTGTAGTATAGGCCAAAGAGACGAAGACACAACATCTTGGGAATACACAGAAAATGGAGGGAGAGAATATTGCGGGGAACGTTGAGAAACACCCATCTAGTCCAACTCCATATTCCATAAAGATGAAGGGCCTGAGGCCAAGAGAGGGCAAGACACTTGCCCAAGGTTACATAGCAAGCTTGGTGGGATTGGATTCCAGGTTTCTTGTCCCTCGTGCTAACTAAGGCTTCTTCCCTAAGGCTAATAATTAGCGAGGGCTAATGTTAATAATGGATGTTGAATAAATTCACTGAGCACCGAATATGAGTTATTTTATTGTCGCATATGTTATTCTATTTAACTCTCATGGGGACACAGGGTCAGTTTTCTTTTCCTTTCCTTTACAGTTGAGGAGATTGTGGCTTAGAAGGGATGAAGCCATTTGCCCAAGGTCACTCAGCTGGTAAATGGCAGAGCTGAAGGTCAAGTCTGTGTCTCCTTAGCCCAAGGCCCAGGGTCATCTCCTTGCACAGTGGAGCAGTCTCTGAGGCTTTATCTGTGATTCTTCCCCCCAGGCTTGGACATCCGCTGCCACGCTGATTTCCTCCCATCCCCCAACTCCCGCTTGTCCCCCTTCTTCGGTCTTTCAAGCAAAGTCAGGTTCCACCCGCTTGCCCGTGGGGCCTTCTGTGAGTCCTACTTGGCACACTCGTTGATTTCCTGTTAATTAGCAAGGAATTATTCTAGAACAACTGCCAGTGTGTTAAGCAGGGTGGTCTGTTCCCGGGGCCGTGGATCTCTCCTAGCTTCCAGGCACAGCGCAGGGGACCTGGCCGGGGGTCCCTTGGAGGCAATGACGTTGTCCATTCTCCCTCCAGCTACGTGAGACTCTGCGAAGTGGTTGACCACGTTTTCCCATTGCTGAAAAGAAGCCATTCTTCAGACTTCCCCTGCTCAGATACCTTCAGTAATTTCACCTTTTGGAGAGAGCCACTGCCACCTTTTGAAAACCAGGATGTTCATTCTTCCTCAGCATAAAATGTTGCAAGCAACCTCCTGACATCATGTGAAGACCAGCACCCCCGATTAAAGGCCAGGTTTTGGGAGCCACGGAGCAGGAGCTCGGGAGCCTGATTGATGTGCGGTCATTTGCTTAACGACTGAGCCACCCAGGTGCCCTAACGGTCATTTGCTTAAGAGCAGAGAAATCTGAGGGGACTTTCTCTCACTTCCCCGTGGCCCCCAGGGGTGGACATTTCTTAGTGAAATACGAAGCGTGTACTTTATAGACGAGGCGTTGGGTGCACTCAGAGCGGGAAGGCATCCCTTGGTGGTGGCTTCGAGCCAGTTGCCACGCTGCCCTGCCCCGTCCACTCTTGCGGTCCTTTACCGGTTCCTGGGCAGAGGTGGCCGCCAGGGGGTCCCCGCCGATGACCGTTCGGTTGAGGCACGCCAGATGCACGGGACTTTGGTAGAGGAGGGGCCCATTTCCATCCGTGGCGGCGTGTGCTGAGGGGCCCGAGACGTGCCTCTGCGGGGTCTCCACCCTCACTGTGCTGGCTCGGCCCGGGGTGTCTCCCTGTAGTATTCGCCGACAGGGCTGATGGTGAGGCCATAAATTCTTTAATTCCTTTGATTAAAGATAACCTAGATAGTTGGTATATTTCCCCCCATTTTTGTGGCCCAAGGCTGGAATATCTATGCCTTAATGCATCTGTGGCAGGCCTTTTATTTAGAATGTGCTTTGTCCAGCTCTCTGTAACTTTGCAATGCCTTAAATTCAGATTATAGTAAGCATTCCTAGGGCAGCATTGGAATGAGCTCCACACTCTGCCAGCCCCCTTCTCCAGCCGCGTGGTGCTGTAAACGTGGGTTCGAACAGAGCTCACGCCATGTGGTGGTGATGTCGATTTCTCTTGGGAGCTCTCGAAAGAAACTAGGTGGTTTTACGAAAATCGCTTCAAGATGTTATGTTCTTTGTAGATACTCTTATTTATTACTTTACTCTGATTGGGTTATTGTTATGAGCATTTTAGCCATAGTCTTTCTATTATAACTGTCATGAATACATTAAAACGATAGAGATGTTAGACTATCCAAAGAGCCTTATTCTGTATATCTCATAACACTGACCTTCTTTCGGAGCTTATGGGTAATACTTTTTATTTTCCTTCGCTTTTCCTGCTCGAGTTAAGGGCAAGTGGATAAGTAATAATTCGAGTGACATTCTTTACGTTGGCAGAAGATGATTCCTTTCCTTGTTTATAAAATTGGCTTCTGGAGAGAATAATTTGAAAAGTGAAAGAACTATTTTGGTAAAAGATTTTGCTTTACTTTTTGAAGTATTATTTTTTTAAAGAGTGTTTTACTCCAATGATTGCAAATCCTTTCCTATTTAAATCGCCTTGTTAGAGTCAGAACCTGCAACAGTTGAATGAAATTTTACTCTTTCTGTGAAAGAAAATCCAGAGGTGTTGCCTTCCTTGCAGCTGCTGGGCTCCGTTAGTGAGGGGTGCCTTCACGGAACTGTCTGCCTGGCGCGACGGAGAAAGGCAAACATACGTGTGTTGTCGGTCACAGACTTGCCTAGAATCGGAACGTGCATGCACAGATTCCCTTTTGGAGGCATTAAAAATAATTAAAAATAGTTCTGCCTTAACTACTCTGGGCTTATTCATTAGTGACTTTTAGAGGCTGCATTAATTCTGTCATGAGGGTATTTCGGGGTGAACTTGAAGTGTTGTGAACTAAGCATAAGGTCACATGCCTGCAGAGGCTGACACAGTTTGTCCCCTGCACTGGGGAGGATCCGGCTTTGAGGAGGGGTGGTGTGTCCCACGTCGTGCCATCCTGCCTACCCTTCATCAGGACGACCAGCGGCAGTCACTCTCCACGTGGACGTCGGAGAGCTTGCAGCCCTGCATTCCTAGTTTTGACATACCTTACACCTCCGCACCGCTGCACTCCGAAACAGAGCATGCCCTCCAGGAGGTGACACGCTCAGATGTGTGTCCCCTCCAGCGTGTGACCCCTGGAGGGGCTGTAACATTCACACCTGCCTTGTGGTTTCCGAAAATGAGATTTGTACGTGGCTGCACTCATGCATCTATCAGCTGGTTTTTCTGTATTTACACACTTACTACCCAGTAACCCTGTGGTCATGCTGCGTCTGGACCAAACATTTCACAGTTGCCCTGTGGAGATGAGTCCCTCCACATGGCATCATCAGATGATCATCCCGTGTGACGAGGGGAAACACACATACCTGGTACATGGACAAATGATTACACCTTCACAGGGAAACTCCCTTTTCACTTCTAGGTTGAGATCACCGCTTTCAATATATTTAATTTACGACACTTGGTCTGTATTTGTGTATGCTGGCACGATGATCCCAATCACTGTAAGCCCTACGGTGTCGTGCTGGCTGCAGAGCTAGAAAACATTGTAATAAAGGAGATGGATGAGCCATTTCTCTGGAAATCAGGCGTGTGAATTTTAAAGTTTTTTGGTAAGTTATTAAGTTTCTTTCTGGTGTGTGATATCAAACATTTTTATTCTCTACTCAAAAAATCCTTAAGGCTATGAACTGTTTATTATTTGGAATAAAAGAGCCAGTCTTTTCCTTTGGTGCAGTACTGACCCTCCGTAAGCACGGGGGAGGGGGGAGGGGGGGAGGCTGGGGGAGGTTGGGGGAGGCTGGGGGAGGCTGTGTCCGGGGCCCGTCCTCCCGGTGGGAATTGCTTGAGAGCAGAGTGGGCTCAGTTAAGTGTGATGCATGCAGGTTCCTCCAGGGCTTGGCCCATGATCGATGTGTCACACAAGCAGGCTCTGGTCTGTGTTCTTGAATGAGCTGCTCTGTCAGGTGCAGCCGCAAGAGGAGACACAGGAGAGGCTCAGGAAACCAAGTTCATTATACCTGAGTATAATGACATGGGAGGCACTTCATGCTTGCAGTGCCCCGTGGGGAAGCCCCAGGGTGGTCAGGAGGCAGAAGTGGCTGGAACGAGGTGAGAGCCTAGGCCAGAGCCTTTTCTGGGCTTTCCAAAGGAGAGCCAGGGCAGGACAGGGTGTCCAGCTTGAATTATTTCCGCAGCCTCCAAGCTGGAGGGGTGGTCCCTGGTGGGCCGGTGCCCAGCCCTGGGATGTTTAAGGCAGAGGAATGTTGGCTTCTGGGCGTGCAGAGCAGACAGGAGGGTTGGCTCTGGATGGGTCGGTTGGCATGTTACTGGCGAGCCCCAGCTGGGCCCCTGGCTGCCTCTGGGAAGTGGCCTGCCAGGCTCTCCCCAGCCAAAAGGGCTCTCAGATGTCAAAACACTGTAATAATACACAGAAAATAAAAGTATAAACTGTGCAGGTTCCCTCGCCTCACATTCCCTGTCCTCAACTTTTGGACTCTTCTCTGTGCTATACCTGACTCATTTCCCTTAAATTTTTATTTAAATTCCGGTTAGCATACAGTGTAGTGTTAATTTCAAAGGTGCAGTTTAGGGATTTAGCACTTACCTGCGGCACCTGGTCAGCAAGTGCCTTCCTTAATCCGGGGGCACCTGACCGGCTCTCTTGCCTTTTTTTTTTTTTTTTTTTTTTAAGATTTTATTTATTTGAGAGGCAGAGAGAGTGCGCGTGCAGGAGCGGTGTGGGGGAGGGGCAGGGAGCGAGGGACAAGCAGACTCCGCGCTAAGCACAGAGCCCGATGCGGGGCTCGATCTCACCACCCGGAGACCATGACCTGAGTGGAAATCAAGAATTGGATGCTTAACCGACTGAGCCACCCAGGAGCCCCACTCTTTTCATTGAATCAGTCAAAACCCTTGGCTAGTTTGCACAGATGACTTGAAAACGGTCCTAATTCTTACTGATTTTGTGCAACCTTGGCATGCCGAGACATCCTGTTGATTCACCTGCATCAGCCTAAGTGTTTTGGGATAAATGTTTAAGTGTAGCGGTCCCTAAATGCATAAAAGACGGCTATCCGGGGCCCCAGGCCGAGCTTCTCTCGAAGCCAGAACCGAGCAGGCCATCTGGGCGACTCAGAGTTAATGCTTCTGTATCTTGAAAACAAAACAAGCCCCTTCACGTAGCTGAACATCACAGATTTATCCCACCTCTGATTGCAGACTATAGACTCTTATCTGTAAAGTAAAAATCAGCATGAGCTGGATGGAGTCTCTGGCCCGGTGATCGCCACCGGTTCCTGCCCTTGGCCACTCTCCTCTCAGCGGTCCCCTAGGCTATGCTGTTTCCATTTGGTGCTGTAGGCGGCTCTCACACACGCAGGATAGCTAGTTCAGCAGCTTGAATTTCCCCAGTGTCTCAGCTGTAATCACCTGAATATTTAAAATACTTTCTATCTTGGTCTTCGAAATTGACCCAGCCGGCCGGATTCACCAGCCCTTTCATTGGAGCCTGGGGCACACGGACGGTGGGGCCAGTGCCCGTCAGCGCTGGGCCTCAGAGCGCCCTTTCCCACAAAGGGGAATGGCGTGCGGCCCTGGTGCAGCCCTGGGACATAGTCATGGTCGTGGAGGAAAGTTAAGCAGGCCTCATTAAAATGAAAAACCGAACTCCTTTGGAATCTGGATTTCCTGGTTGTAGCGGGAGTGTTGTTCTAAGCAGCTGTTCAGGAGAGCTGTGTCATATCACCCATCACTCATCCCTCTTCCTCCCTTTGTGCGTCTGTACTTTGTCTTCAGATGGGGGGTGGGGGAGCTGCGTGGAGCGGGACTGCCCTGCTTCCACGGGCCTGGGGGTGGTGGGAGGGCATCCCGTCTCTGCACCAAACAGAAGTGCTCAAAACGCCCATTGTGCCTGCCTCCTGCTTCTGATGCCTTTCCCCACTCCTGTTCCAGCCCGAAGCGGGGGAGCATCCCTGCTGTGGCAGGAAGGCTTGGTGCCCAAAGGAAACCTGAATATGACCTGATCGAAGTGGCCCCTGGGAGCCAGCGGGCCCCAAATGGCCACCTGGGGGCACAATCAGTTTTGGTGTGGAGGCAATAGCCTTTTTTTAAAAACATTATCCGGGCTTGACAAAGGCCCCTCCCCATAGTGCTTGTCTTGGAGACCAGCCAGGTGTGTTGAGGGCTGGTGGGGAGGGGGAGGAGTGCCCTACGGGGACTGTTTGGGCGCCAAAGTGCCTCCAGTGGGCACAGCGCACGGCCAGACATCACTAACCAGCTCGGAGGAGGGAACAGTTTGTGGGTGATGGCTGTTCAGGTTGAAGAACCACTTAGATCTGTGGGTCTCAGAGCCTGCAGCTCCAGCACCGACCGGAAACTTGTTAGAAATGCAAGTTCTTGGGCCCGACCCCAGACCCATGACCCGAGCTGGTATGTCCTCCCCAGGATTCTGATGCATGCTCAGGTTCCAGATGACACAGTGGAGGCCCACACTCTGTTCCCAGGGGCTGCCTGGGCACTGTACTAACCTGGCTGGGCCAGAGGGACAGAAAGGAGCTGCTGCAGGAGGAGGCCCCTGGAAACCCACTGCGGGGGCTCGATTGAGTCACGGGGTGCCGTGGGAACCCTCTGATGCACAGCTGCCAGCCTTAGCCCCCTTCCAGCATCTCCTTGGGCTGGCGGCGGGGAGGGGACTCCGCCCGCCGACCGGGCCGGGCAGCTGGGTGCGTGTGAATGGCAGACCTGGGCTGTGCCCAGATTCCTGGTGGCTCCCTTCCTCCGCCAAATTGTGGGAGCCTGGAGGGGCTGTCCTGATGCCAGCTAGCTTTTCCCTGGCACAGGAAGTCCATTCAGCCCTGCATTGCCTTTAATGAGTTTTGCAAGCAAGTGGCCTCTTCCGGTGACTCATTCTGCCTTTTGTGCTCTGGAGATTGTGGTTTTAAGTTTCACTTTGGAAAGTAACCACTACTTCTGCTGCTTTCTCCGCTGCTGGAATCTGAACAAGTTACATTCATTTTGCAACAAAGAAATATAAATGTCCGAGCGCCAGTCATATTTCTGCTCTGATTGTAAAAACATCCTTTCCCGAGATGGATGACGGAGCCAAGCTAAGAAGAAATGGTTTATATGGTTTTCAAGTAACACGTTCACTTGGGAACTTCGTCTTTTTCCTTCCAGAGTGGCTTGATAGTTTTGTTTTTGTTCCTTGTCGTCTTGATTCATATTTCAGGGATATGCTAAAAAATAAACGGCGCTTGCTAATTGAGTGAGGTGGTTAACCTCTGATTTATTGAGAGAGACTTGGTTCTGGACAAAAGTTTGTGTTCTCGCTTTCATGCAGTGCACAAAGGATGATGATAACAGAGATCACAGCTTCTACAGTAAAATCGTTCTCATATGACTTTGCACAGAACTCGGTTTATGGTTTGTGAACCGATGCGTTTCTTAGGACGAGAGGGGGTGCAAAGTGGACAAACCCCACGCAGTATTTTTTTTTTCTCCAAATAATATAGTCGTCTTCAGACCGTTGCAGCAAACTAAATTATTTTTACATAATTTTGTGTGAATATGTACCAACATAAAACCATAGCCCTTATACAATAATAAACCAAAATGCGTTTAAAATTAATTGCAGCTAAACCTATAACACTTATAAGACTCAAATGAACACGAACATTATGTGATGGGAAATGGGAGCTGGTGAAATGATGTTGGACTGGGGTTTATAACAGAGGTATTTGTGTTTTATATTGCATTTGTCAACTTGGTTCTTCCAACTCTTGAGCATGGTCGGTCACCCTCCAAATCATTGTTAATACTGCCTTCCACAAAATACAGCAACTGGAAAGTTCTGATCACATGTTTCCATTGACTCTGGCTGCGAATGAACTGTTGCAGATTCTTGCACCCAGGGTGGAAGGCCTTCAGTAAGCCGTCTCATAAGATAAACGTGGCACTGACTTGGAAAGGAAGACTCTTGAATTTAGCTGGCGAAGGCACTACCCCGACTCCATTGTCCTGATTTTCTCTCTTTGAAGTGCCATAAGACTTCTGTGTGGACATTATCTGCCATCATCTTGTGTGCTTAAAGCATCCGCACCCTTGGGGATTGGGGTTTGGGGTGCTCATCACCCTTCTCTCCAAGGTTCTGGCTGATGGAACATGAACTGAGTCACATGGGCACTCAGGGGTCAGCTGTACTGTCCAAAGTGACAGAAGTTACTGACGTTGCCTGAAGCCAGATTGGGGCTTTTAAATATCTCTTTTCACGTCCAAAGCTGGAGAATGCCTCCCCTCTCTGGCTCCATGGAGGCGGTGGGGGGCTCCCCAAGCAGTCTTTACCCTGGTGTAAGAACAGCCTCTGTGCCTGAGCTTGGGAAGGGAGAGAGCCTGCTTCCTGCTTTCGAGCCTGGCCGGCCTGCACTCTGGTCACGGGGGCAGAGGCTCCGGGCCCCCACCAACCAGAGCTGCCCCTTCGTGGGGAGGGGAGAGGGGCCGCTGAGCAGAGATCCTGGGGCGGTTGCTTGCAGACCAGCACGGGTGTGGTTGCTGTCTAATAACGTGGCCCGAACGTACCTCTATCTGCATGCTTCCGGGAGCCCAGTGGGCAGCTCTGCTTCTCGGGAGCCAAAGCTATTTTGAAACAGTGCATTATGGTTTTGTTTACTTTGGGAGCGAGTTAGGGTGGTCAGGTGAGAGCCTTTGCATGGTGTTAGGGGGACCCTGG